ACTTTTTGCTTTAGAACAGTTACTACTTCAGACGCCAGCACGTGCAACGCGTGTAACTACACTTGTAGCATGCACCTCGGTGCTTGGGAAATTTAGAGAAAGGTCTAATATGGTCTATTGGGACGCTGTCTGCTTTGTGTGCTATTAATACCCGGCCGATTGAGTCAAGGCAATCCACTTTCCAAAGACATTGCCATGCTAACATTTATCGCGTTCATTTAGGCTTAAGAATGGCCAGAATCGAAAGACTATCTAAAAAATGCGGCGAGGTCATATGCTCATGCTTTGCGATTTAAATGAGGTAAGGCAAAGCGAAAGCCTCTGGCACCATTCATTGCTGACTAACGCGCCCAATATTGCAGCTACAACGACATATTAGTTTCAAAGCGAGCGGCGCTCACTCACCGGGGCACCGCCATGTTTCCCTGCATTCCTGCCGAGCCAGTCACGTGATTTCAAAATCCCTCTCCTAGGTACTGCGGTTAACTTTAGCCGCGGTTAGCGCTTGAGCAAACGGGCCCTGGAAGCCACACACTTTAGTTTGAAATATCAGAAGATTGAATTATCAAAATTCATCTAAATATTGTCACGAATAAAAACATACTTCTTTATTAAACTTAAAATCAGTGTGTAATGCGCCGAACTTGTGCTGAGAAACATAAATTAACAAAGACTTTTGATGGTGTCGAAAGGACAACTGCCTCAAGCAGCCAAGCGAAGGTACTTTTGTAAGCGCGTGGGTATCTAGAAGTTTCTGAGCTCGAACAAAAAAAATTTAGAGTCGTCTCATCATTCCAGTTACGCAAACAAAAGAAAGAAGGACATGCGCTGGCGGGGTAAGCGGCATGTGAGTCGATCACGCTGCTGACTCGGCTATTTGCACGTGGCATTACTCCCCTCTTGTGAAAGACTCGTCGTCTTTATGCAACACAAAATTGAATTAACAGCTTAAACAAGACTAGGTCAAAATACAGAGTCTCGTAAATAGCAGATTTTCACAGTCCTACCGAGCATACCTAGTTCAGTTGAGTCGGAAGACGTGAATCGCCTACGGGTCGCAGAGGGCAGCGTGACAATGTTGATGTGCCATTGGCCAACGACTTACAACTTAGGTCTCATGTAGCGAATAACCTTGAGGTCGAAGCACCACTTTAACAGTTCCTTGCTGCAACGATGAATTGGTGTTTAGATTCACAGTGGGTAGCCAGGCTGAAACTGGGCGTCGTGGTGACAAAGATTGTAGCAGTCATCGTCAGGAAGTTGTGGCTTGCATCAAAATGCGACCAAGCTGGCAAACTTCCTCCGTTCGTTGAGCATTCAGATCGCACTTTCTTGTTTTCAGGAAATGCGAAATGAGTAAGGTGGATAAGGTGATAACATGACAGTTGACCAAGAAAGGAGAAAAGACTTGAGACTTTCTCGGACACAGCTGCTTGCCATCTTTATGTGACTAAACCCGAGACGCAGGAGGAGGAAGACACGTAAAGAGGACACACACGGACTGTCCTCGTGCATGTCCTTTTTGTGGGTCTTCCTCCTCTTGTATCTATGTATAGCCATGTTAACTAGTCACTCATTCCTCTATCAGTTTTTGCTATCTTTGCATCTTCTATGCTGCATGCATCCTAGCCCATGCTTTATTTCTTGGCTATACCAGAATGAATGGCACCAGCGGGAGAATGGTGGCCGAGTGAGTGTGTTAACGTGCCGCACCTTGGTGTGCGTGGAGGAATCTTAGGTTCACTCCCCAGCCCTGCCTGTTCGATTGCACCGAGCATCGTACCGTTATGCATTCGTGTACGGTAATCCCTCGTTAGCTCGAACTCGGCTATCTCGAAATATTGGTTAAGTTGGAAGATTTCCTAGCCATAAAATGAACTCACATAGGCACAATTCATTTACTCATTGCTTATCTCAAAAAGGTTTCAGACCCACCTTGGATATCTCGAAATCCTGACAACAAATATTACAAAAAAAAAAAAAAAAGAAAAACAGGCAGAGCACAGCAAATAATGACCTGGTGGCCTAAACATTGGTTCTTGAAGGAAACCCACAAACACACAAAAAAGAAAAAAATTGTGCATCATCGCACGTGTGCAACAACGCACAAAGAAAAAGAAAAAAAGTCCGTGTCATGAGTGCGGCAACGTGCGCAGGTGCAGCAAAGGCACTTCGTGGAGCAACATGTGCCTCAAGGACATTTGTTGTCTCACTTTCTTTTAATACGAAAGCATTAACCGGGTCTCATGGAGTGAACTGACGTCATCAGCTTTGAAACCACGCCAAACGGCATCTTAAATCCTTTCTCCAAGTGAAGCCAACTCCCAGCTGTGAAACCATGCGAAAAGCTAGCCAGCGGCACCAAAATTCTCCAATCCCAAAAGAGTGAAATAAAGCTGATGGATTTTCGGCTTCAATCCCATTGGCTGGCGTGCGTCGACGAGGCTCCCATTGGCCACTGCATGTCAGTTTCAACGACCGCTCACGCGGCGCTGCGTGTCCGTTAGCGTAGCGTTAACACGGAACGTCCAAGGTCAGCGCGCCCAGGTGAGCGCGTGCTGACCCGCAATGAAAAGTATGCAGCAGACGAAACAAGGGAGCGGACAAGCCGCTTGCATGCTTTGGCATTCGCAACTCATAAGAAGTGATTAGGTATACTTTGAGCCTTTTTCTTTCCCTAATATGGCTTGGTGGTTGGTGCCCCTGTTTCTGTCTCCCTCGCACTCAGCGTTATCTTCCAGCTTTATCCTTTCAATCTTTTTTTTTTATTCTTTCAATTTTTTTTTGCATTTTGTTTCTTAGTTTTGCTGTCTCTTCTTATTGATTTTTAATATTAATTTTGTTGCATTTTGTTTTGTTCTCCCCACCGCACCTGCACCTGCCGCATGTGTTAGCGCCAAGTCAATTGGCGCGATTGTTGGAAGGGTTCCATTTGCACAATGCACTATCAGTGTAATGAAAATTCGGTACCTCGCTTATCTCGAAACTGCTCTACTCTCGAATTTCTTTCTAGTTTTTATGACTTCGAGTTAATGAGAACTTGCTGTATAACCACCGCGTAATGCACCAAAAAGACCCCAGATTAGCGGCAGTACTGGCTTAATTTATTAGAAACACCAAATGCCTGTCGGGGCTCACTAACTTCCCGCCGTTTAGTATACAGTCGAGTTCACTTATAACGATATCCAAGTGCCAAGAAAATACCTTCGTTATAACCGATAATTGTTATAAGCGGGTTGAGGAAAAAAAGACAAAAGAGAGATCAAAACATTTTATTTGCAGGCAAGTAAGGTTGTGCAAGTGCAACTACTTGTTTGCAGAAAAGCCATAGTCTGTCAGCTTTGATTGCTTCACGCGAAGCTGGCGCACATCTTTTTCTAGAGCATCTAGGTGCTCCACGTAGCTTAGCAGGAGGTCCTTCGCGAAAACAAAGTCCCTGAGGGACTGTATTATCCGCTGGGCCTCCTGCGATGACAGTACCTGGGTAGGCTCCTCAACCACGTCGTCGGAGTCGTCGGTCTCACCGTTGTCAGCAGCATGTACACGCGCGACGATTGCCTCATCACTGAGGCACTCGGACGTTTCCACAACATCGTCTGCATGAAGGAAGTCGTCCAGACCCGATCTTGCGTAGAATGCGCCGCAGACAGATCGGCCACGACGCCCCGTCCGCAGTGAAATGTAAAACGAAGTCGGAGAAAGATAATCTAAGCAGCGAGCACACAACAGTCGAGTGAGCGAGCGAGTGGCGCCAGTGCGCCGAGTGCGCGTGTGGTGCGACCGGGTGCGCGGACAAGGCCAAAGCGGCGTCTCCGGGAGGGGAGTTCGGAAGGAAAGCTGCTCCTCCTCTTGCTTCCTTCCTAGCAAGCGGCGCAGTCGACTCATTTTCTGAGGGGTGGAAGGGATGCGTGTCGCGGGGCACAGCTTGCCGCGGAGAGCCGGCGGTGGCTGGCATTTTCGGCGCATGCTGTAACCAGAATTAATCGCTATATCCGATATCGCAGCCCTGGAGCATCGTAATAAGCGGTTTATTTTACCATTGAAAGCATATAAAAGTGGACGGTGCTATCGTTGTTCATCGTTATAACCGATATATTGTTGTAAACGGTATCGTTATAAGTGGACTCGACTGTACCCTCATGATTTAATATCACTGAACACTTCAGTTAGTTTTGATATGGGGCCTGGAACGGGCCTCCGACTGGTGCGTTTACCGCGTCCTGGAATGTGGTTCCCCAATTCTCGTGTAATGTGGTGGTAGAAGTGCCATGTTGTTGCCGGCTGTGGGCTTTGCCGTGGTGTGGGAGCGGAGGGTGGGGCAGCAGAATCCTCTTCCGCTGCAGTTCACTCTGCAGCAAGACGGTCCACGCAAACAAAAACGGACTTGAGATGGGACGCGATGACGACAATGGTCCTCGCATCCTGTCCCCTTTCCCGCCTGCATTAAATACTCCTTCTTTCCCAGAACCATAACAGAATGGAACAACCTACCTCATCACCTATTTATATCTGACAATGTTTTGGAGTCGATTGAGCATTTGTTTGATGTGTAACTCTTTGCATTGTGTTTCATTTTCCTGTTCCCCACTACCGCCACCCCTCCCAACTTTGTTGTGAGCTATTACATATGCTTTATTTAAATTTTTGCATAATTTTCCCCTGTTCCCCTCTCCCATTTTACGGATTACCTGGTGTTGCACTTTTTTGACTCCACTTTTGTAACCCCCAATCCTGCTTGGGCCGCAATTGGCCTGCAGTATTCCTAAATAAATAAATAAATAATAAATTTCTAGGACTAACAGCTGGGATAGCAACGCAGCATGATGGTATGCCAGTTCCTGCGATGCTGTCAGTTGCCGGTTCGGTACCGCTTTTGATGCATGAGTGGAATGGGACGCTAAACGCGCCAGTCAAACACTTATTCCAGGCACTGTAGCTTCAGTCAACAAAGGGACTCGAGTGTTCCATGGGTTCTTTATTTGGCGGTTGTCCTTTTGCAGCCTGTGACTGCCACCCGTCGGCGTCCCTAGGCGCTTCGTGCGACGCGGAGAGCGGGCAGTGCACCTGCCGGAACAGCTACGGCGGCCGTCAGTGCCTCCACTGCCAAGTGGGCTTCTACGACTACCCCACCTGCAAACGTGAGTCTGCTCATTTTTGCTTTATGTTGTCTCGGTCGATCGAATGGTTGCCCGATTGACGTACAAGTCGGTCGATTGAATGCTTCATCAAGTGAACGCAGAAGTAACGACGAACAAAGTTGAGGAAATGGATGTATTGCTTGGTGCGTCGATAAATCATTGTCGTAAATGAGCAATCGTCAGTTTGTCACTTACTGTATTTACTCGAAAATAGGTCGACCCCTATTTATTGAGCCCACCGAGAATAAAAAAAAATAATTCAAATATAGGTCGACCTTTCTTTTTTTTTTAAGGAACAGGGGAAAGTTAGGGCAAAAGAAACAAACCTTTATTTACAGCACTCTCAGCTAAATCACAGGGCGATGTCAAAAAAGCTTCGTCAGCTTGGTAGACATCCTCGCAAATTGGCAACAATACCTCACTGACACCGTTGTAAAATAAATGACAACAAGAAGAAACAAAAGAAGGTGGAGACGGGCGAGCGACGAAAGATCAAACACAAAGACACGAGCAACGCTGCGAGCCCCTTGAGCAACACGCGACCCGCCGAAAAAAAAAACAACTAAAATACCTCCGGTGGTTTTTTTTTTTTTTTTTTGCGCGTTTGCGAGGGAGAGAGGAATGGAGCGCATAGGAGGGTAAAGTGCATGGCGCATCGCGTTCCTCTCTCTCGCCTTCCCCCTTGCCCAGCGAGGGGAACGCTACAGGCGTGATGGCGAAACTCGATGCCCGAGGAATGTGCGCGAGAGCCGTAGCGGGCGGTCACGGACTGTCGGCTGCTGCTGTTCGGTTCTTTTTGTGCATCAAAAGCTTTTTGAAACAAGAAGCCGCGCGGCTCTACCGCGACAACGGCTAGGTGATTGATAGCTCCATACCCTCGGTAGGGTTTCAAATTTTGGTTGCGAATTAGGTCGAAATTCTTTGGTCACGATTATAGGTCGACCCTTAATTTTTGACAACATTTCCGAAAAAAAAAAAGGTCGACCTATATTCGAATAAATACGGTAGGTCCTATCCACGCAGTTCAAAATGATTTCTGGGAGTGTGGTGGATTCGTTCGACTTACGTGCATCGGCCTACGGTGGTGTGGAAAACTGTAACGCGGTGCAGAAAATCGCGGGGCACTGTAGCTCCCCGGTTGAAAATCGGCCCACCTGCAGTTGGATGATGGAACTGGATGGAACAGCAAAGACCAGTTTCGTTATCCAGCTGCTGGTGGGCCGACTTTCGCCTGGGCCAGCAAACGCTTTCAGATACGCTGCACTCGTAAATCGAACACGACAACGTGCATCGAGTGCAGCTGGTGCGGGAGGCGTAGGTATAGATTGAACAAACCTAGTAAACTTTTAAAAAAATGGCGTGTCCTGACAATGGTGCATGCCCGGTGTCCGTACAGTGTGTTCGTGCGACCCGACGGGCACTACGGAGGAGGTGTGCAGCAACCAGACGGGCCAGTGCCTGTGCAAGCCCCAGTACGGGGGCCCACGCTGCGACCAATGTGCCCCGGGATTCTACAACTTCCCCAACTGCATTCGTGAGTACCTCCTGTGCTCCTGCGACTTTGCTCTTCTTTTGGAATGATTGTTGACTGCTTTTATTTTGGTGCTTCATGGTGAAAGCTCTTAAATAGTGTAAGTTGAAAAAGCTATCCAGGACAGACACAAAAATCCAACAAAAACACGCAGGAAAGCTTTGTTTATTGAACGGAGCAATATGGGCGCTTTTATTCATTTGTGGAAACTGTGAGTGTACAGTCACGCAGAAACTAAATAGCTCCAATCAAGTGTGTGTTCTCCCCTTTCAATCAGACCATGCTGAGAAGATGCGGATGATAACAGCGGTTTCTTTGCATTGATGGGCTCCCCCCTTGTCTGTTTCACATGGACGAGTCCTGATGTCAGCGCTAGTATGAAGGAAAACCGGCAGGAAAGCACTCCTCAGAAAAGAAACGCTCGTTCGCTCAGAGCAATTTAGTTTCTGCACGACTGTAGATTAGTCACATCTGCAATCTTTTGCACAAATCTTATTGCACAATCTTGTAGCCTGTTGAAATACAGGATCTGCGGAAAAGCTCTACCTTCTGCATGCACTCGACAACTTCGGCCCCCATCGAGCACGTGGGCTCGATGAGGGCCGAAAAAATGGATGTCACTTTACCTAAACACCAATCGAGCTTCTCCGCTGAATTTAGCGGGGAAAATCAACGTCACTTGACCTGACACCGCATGACCTACAAAAAAATTCAGTTTCCATGCTAAATTTCGCAGGGAAATATAGGCCATATGTCACACAAATTCCCTCTCCCCATTTTTCTCCTCCCTTCCCTCTCCTCCTTCTCCCTCCTCCTTCCTATTTCCATCTCTTCCCCCTTCTCCTAGGGTGCTCTCCCTTCCCCTCCTTCTGCCCCCCCCCCCCCCCCCCCTTGGCCATGTGACACCAATTCAGTGTCCCTGTTTTCCCTTCTTTCCCTCTCCCAGTGCCCTTCCTTGCAGTCCTACAGTGCTCCCTCCCCACTTCAGGTTACATGACACACAAATTCTATTTCCCCAAAAGTGATAAAAATATAGGTTCTTCACTGTTGCAACAACTGTTCAATCTCTCCCAAACAATTGAAACAGTCTCTCCTAAATACTGAATTTCACGCATTTTAGGTAGGTTTCCGTGTTTTCAGATAAATCCGAAAAGCTCGGAGAAGCAACCGCCAGCGAAGTTTTCGTCACTTCGGATTTATATTTGATAAACTCAAAATTTCAGTGTCCCAATGTAAAGAAAAAAAGTATCCTACAATTAAGTTTGATCAGTGCACAGGTTCAATGCTGCTGAGAAAATGCCATCTCGGTTTTCTTTCAAATCTAGGAATATTGACAAAAGTTGTTGCACCGTTCATCTCAGCCAAAGGCTCATTCATAACAATGGATCATTGTGCTCCCAAGTCACGACAAAAGTCACTTCCGGTTTCCAGTTTGGACCATATTATCTGGGCTTCTTAGAGGAAGGAGGGTTGTGTTTTTGTAGGAGTGAAATCTACGAACCATAGAGATTTCATGGGAAGCTGAAAGGCAGTTGAAGCATCTATATTTACACCCTTTATCACTCCACCCCGCACAGCCACGGGTAAGGTGATGGAATACGGTGGAATGAAAACAAGCTTTCCAGTGACTACCTCGAAGAATTTAATAATTATAAGGTATCGACGTTTATTAAGGCAACATTGTTTGCACGCTTTGTCTTGGGGCAGGTTAGTATTGCCAATAGCTAGGGTGCCAATGCCAAATCCATCGAAAGAAATATTATTTGATACAAGTGCATTCTCTTGAACCTAGCACAAGTATAGACCCCTATATTATTTATTTTTATTTTTATGTTTAAAAATAAAAGAAACATAATAAAATTAAACTCCAAATTTTGGAGAATTGGAGATCTAACAAAAATAAACTCCGATAAACTCGGACTTTTTGGCAAAAAGTAAACTCCGAAAAACACCCTCATAATTTTAGAAAAATAAACTTTGGAAACACGGAACCCCGATTATAGTAATTTAAAGCTAAAGGTCATTGGCAATTTTTTTTTGCTATTCCTACCAGCAACTTGCTGCCTTAACAGTTTGTTCCAGAGGCAATGTTTGGGCCGAGAAGACTGTGGTGCCTCGCAGTGTTGTGAGCAGCGCAGGGTAGCGCAGTGCACAGATTTTGCTTGCTCGTGTCGACGGTGGTCACACTGTAGCAAGGCCACGGGAGAGAGTGCCAGCAGTGGTCCGTGCTTTATTTGTGCAGCCTGTGAATGCGACAGCAAGGGCTCCCTGGGCAATTCGTGCGACAACGCGGGCAAGTGCCACTGCCTGGCCAGCTTCACGGGCCTGCGATGCGACCAGTGTGCCCCGGGCTACTACAGCTACCCAGACTGCAACCGTGAGTGCTTCTCTGCGATACATATAAGGGTGTAGGGGGGGCTTGAAATGGACTTTGCAAATCATTCTTTGTCGGCTTTGCATTCACATTCAAATTTTGTGAAAATTGAGGTCTTCAGTCTTCTCGCTCTAAATATTACGGACAAACTTCTCCAGCCAAGAGCTTAAGACCCCGGATTTTCTTCACCTTCTACGTAAAGCATTTGATCATCTTTGGCACAATTTAGATATCTTTCGAGCTGTCTCGCTGGAAAAGCATAAAGGTGAAAAGCGGTGCCTAAGAACTAATTGAAAACTTTCGTATAGGTGCCATTCCAAGGATAGGTGGGTTTGACAGGCTATGCCAACCTTTCACGAATGTTTTAGCCCTTTGATGCATAAAAACTATATTCTTTTGTCAGCCCCCGTAAGATTTTGTTTTTAGGGTGTTATATCACACTGGAAAGACAACTTTGAGCTCCACTGAAATAATCTACTGCAACGCAGTGATGGAAGTGCTGCGCCAATTGCGCCAATTTGCGCCAAGGACGCAATCCTGCTACATGTAGCGCCAAATTGTTATTTTACCGAAGAATTGCGCCATGCCTGCGCCGAGATGAGATGTAGCAATAAAAAATAGAAACTGAAGTCTTATCAGAGCGCGTGTCGGTACCACGGTATTTTCCGCGCCGCAACTGTTACGCAAACCGAAACTGCGAGGGCGCATTATCATCATCATTGAAAGGAACGTCAGCAACATCTGAGACCAAAGCCGCAGAGGCTAAGCGAAGAACCATCTCACTGAGCTGCCTATTTAAAAAAAAAAGAAAAAAGGCCGAGCTTGTGAATGTTTTCAATGTTGGCCCGCCCTGTTCCCGAGCGCTAGCTGCAAGCGAAGTCAAAGCTAGCGCGAGCCCAATGCTGTGCATTCCTAAGTCGCGCACAGGCTCGTGCAGTGTGGGCACCGTTACAAGCTTCATGCGCGTGCTTGCAGCTTCAGATGCGCTCGCACTGAAGCTGAAACGAAGTCTAGTTGAGTTGCACCAAACTCTGGATGTAGTGCTGGTAAAGCCTTACCGTCCTTTTCAGAGCACAAAGCACTGCGCGACTGCGGTGTCTGCTCCGCAGGTGTCGCTTCTCTGCACCGCGTCGGTGCATGCCAAGGAGCGCACTCAACGGGTTAACTCGCCATGATCCGATCGTGACTTCGCCAGCACATCGAAAATGAATCGTAATTTTTGAAGCGAATATCAGATACCGCAATATTTGAAGCTGCTGCCCGAAAGATAACTATAATCTGAACTAAAACATTCCACAACAGTAAGGGTCGTTAGATGCTGCTGCAGATACCTTTAAAGAAGTGCAGGGTAATAAAACTAAATATCCTGTACCATCAGAACTCAGTGTGACATATTTAATTGTATTTTTTTTATCTGATGAGCAGATAAACTTTATTTTAAAAAAAAAGGTTTTTTCTGTTTACTTTGTTGAATTTGATATATCCTGTCTTAAAAAGGCGACAGACGCTGTGTTCCAACAGGGATGGGCTTTAATAGCACAGCAGCATTATTTCAATTTCAAGTAATATGCCAACATATGCCGGACCCTGCTCCAAAAGGGCCACTACCTGCTCCAAAACAACATTTTGCCTGCTACAAGGCCTGCTCCAAAAGGTCAAATGGCACTTCCATCACTGGCAACGCTACGTAGTTCAGTTTAAATGTGACGCTTGCGAAAATGTTGCTTGTTTGCTAAAACTTGATCATCTGTGCCAGGCCCCGTACGTGAAAAATTGCCTGGATGGTTGAACCGGTGTTTTGCAGCACTGGTCTTTATTCAGCATTATGCGGGACATATTCAGCATTATGCGGGACATTGTGAACAGACCAGATTGCTCAGCCTGAAGATTGAATGTGTAATAACTTGCGGTTTTGCAATTTGTGATTGATTACGTAAATGAAGAAAAGTGGCTTTCTTTTCAAAAATACAGTGAGTGTGCAAGTGAGCTGGTGGATGTTGGTTGTGTTGAAAATTACCCGGGACTGTGGTGAAAGATGGGAAACCTAAAGGTTTCCCATCTTTCACTCTGTAACAAAGAATGGTGCTGTGAGGTCGGTTATCAAGTGCTAGATTCGTGGCTGTATAGGAATTGGAGGAAATAAACGCAGTAGCTAAGTTTGAGACATTCCTTTTCTTGTGTCGCACAGTCTCATGTAATTTTAATCTTGACTTCCTAATTTTTGGTTTAGGCAATTTTGTCCTTCAACATTTCTGCACCGTCTGAGCTCACACTAGTGAGAAGTTGGCACGAAGGTCCTCTGATGCTTCAAATCTCGTGAGAACTGCTGCGCCCTGGAGTGAATGACCCTCAGTGTGTCCCCTGCAGCCTGTGGCTGCGACTCGTACGGATCCGTGGGACTGTCGTGTGGGAGCGACGGCACCTGCTTCTGCAAGCCCAGCTTCGACGGAGAGAAGTGCGACCGCTGCAAGAAGGGCTTCTACAACTATCCCCTCTGCGAAGGTATCCACACTGTCAACACATAGAAAATTGTCTCGGTTGTGCTTCTCTCGTAGCATCATAATCTGCTTTGCCTCTGTTTGTTGTCATCTTTTTATGTGTCTCATTGGTCTGATATAGCCGTGTACATGGCTGAGGGGGAACGCTACTTCATACCTAGGGTTTGGAGTTTTCGGTTAAAACCGATAAAAAACGATAAAAGTACGCCGAATCCATTTTCTGAAATTCGGTTTTAACCGGAAAAGGTCAGTTTTTTTAGGGCCGCGTCAAGGTGGATGGGGGGAGGGGTGGGGGGGAGAGGGCATTGCAGGGTTCAACCTTGTGTGATGTCTTCTAGATTGCCCTCTTCCAAGGTTCAATATTCAACAAAAGAGGTCTTGGATTGGCCTTCACGGGACATCTGTGTCCTTTCTGTGATCGGGCTTAGTGTGTCAAAGTCTCGGTCCCCCAAAAAATGTTTGGATGTGGGCTAGTATAATGTTTTATCGCTTCATGCACTTCAGGGGACATCCAGGAAAGCCGTTAATACCTTTCTTAACACCCTCTCTCAAACTTCCCTGTGGTTGAGAACATAAATAAAATGGATTTGTTTTGCCATTCCGCTGGTCACTGTACGGTCATCACCTCAGACGGTCACGTCGTCAGAATGGGAAGGAGAAAGAAGCGCGCGGAAGGTTATGCCCGCAAATTTCGCGATTTTGAGGTGTATCCTGACGGAAGTTGTAGCGAAGACCAATTATGTATATGTGCCGTTATTCTTTGAGTGATCACAAGTATCACAGCTACAAGGATCATCTGATCCGGTGTCCGATGGTGTTTTTTTTCATATTCATTGAAAAAAAAAGGTAAACTTTCATATTCACCGAAAAAAAACGAAAATTAAATTTTAAAATAGACACCGAAAAAAGTATGCCGAATTTTGAAAAAATAAAAACCGTAAACGCGGAACCCTATTCATACTTGTAATGATTTGTGTTTACTTTTACCCCCAATGTTAAAACGCTCGAACATTCTAGGCCGGATGTTTGAGATCCCGAGGGTAATAGATAAGGGGCCCAGCACGGCCTTGCCGACTCCCTCTCGCTCCAGCCAGCTGTCACGCCGACACCTCGATGCTCGCTTCTGCTTTTTCGGCGATCTTTTTTTTTGTTTTATTTTACTTCTGGCGCAAGTTTGCGGATAAATCCTTTATTTTCGGTTTGACGCTTGTCTATCCTTTTTCATCCGTGACAATATCATGTGCTCAAACTCAGTCCATTACTATAACGGACAAATTGGCATAAGGTTTTCACATTCTTGCTATGTATCATGACTGACTTGAACTTGCTTATTGGCATCACTGTAATTGACATTAACACTTTTTTGTTAATTCCACGAGCTAAGGTTTTCGAAAATGCAGTTTTTGTAGTTCTCTAGCTCTTGTTTGTTATCTTTATATTGACATATTCAACAAAAATACACAAAAAACGCATTATTCGTTGTGATGGTGAGAGTGAATGACAGAATGGAGTTCGGACCACGCGCTGTCTCTACATAAAAAAGAGGTGTTGTGGTACGTCTTTTCTTAAAGGAATCTGATTTTTACGGCAGTCATTTTTATCTGTAATGTTGAAAGAGCTTTTATATATCTCTGCTTGTCAAGACCAGTGTTTCAGCGATAAATATTTTGAGCAAATTTAAGACGAAAAACCTAAATATTGCCATTTGGGCTTACGTTCACACTCTGTCGTACCTAGTCACCCATTGCGAGCTTCCCAATACAAACTTCAAAGCCGAATCTTGAATTTTTCATTGTGTACTTTTTCTGCCTTACTAGCTCAGTTTTGTATGAACATAGCGTGTACACTGTGCGACACTGTTAGTGCGAATACACCATCGGCACTTTTTTTTGCTTTTCACTTCAATCACGTACCGGCGGCCACTATATTTTGCCGTTAGGTGAGGGCCCCAGACGAGTCCTTTCCACCACACTAGTAATTTGTATCATGCTCTTTCGATTCTAAAAGACAAGAAAAACTGCCAATTCTTTGTTTTCTCTAACAGTATCTTGCAGTGTACATTAAGCTATTTTACGTAACAGTTTGTAAATGTTTTTGCCCCTTCAATCTGTAAGGCATCCCACGGATGTTTTTGAGAATTACTAAGCTTGTTGTCTGCGAGGGTGTCTCAAGGGGAAGGGGGCGTGGCTTCCCGCAGGCTGCAACTGCAACCCGGCGGGGATTCTGGCGACGTTTGGCGGCTGCGGCAGCCTGACGAGCGGGGAGCTGTGCGAGTGCAAGGAGCGCGTCACGGGACGCATCTGCGACCAGTGCCGCCCGCTCTACTGGAACCTCAAGCCGAGCGACCCGCAGGGTTGCGAGGGTGAGGCTCGGGTGTAGTCTGGCATAGAGACACCGTATACACTTTTGGCGTCGAGGTCAAAAGCTTCTGGAGGCGACATGACACCACGCTTGGTCCCCTTCGGGGCCCCGGCGGTGACCAGAACAGCTGTTGGCGCCAAGTCATTTCTCCTTTTCGTACAACGGCGTCTCTTGGTTTTGGTCATCGTTGAGGGCATATCCCTCCACACTTCTGGCGTCACCTCTCGTGGCCTCATGTCGCGTCCAGGAGCTTTCTGCCGCCATAGTTTTTGGAGTGTCGCATCTCTCCTCCCTTTGCCGACAATTGTTTTGTTTGTGTTTTGTTGCGGTTGACAGTGCAGTCGCCATATTGGGTTTCGAGAATTCGGTTCAAATGGCAGCAACTCGCCATTCCGCTGAAGGCATGTCTCATTAATGTTAGCGTCTTTGAATCTGCACGTGGAATTGTCCACTTAGCCATTCTTATCTTTATTGATCTCTGAAAAAGAACTCGTCCTTCCTTCCTTTGTCTTGTTCTCAAAAATGACTTTTCAATACTGCCACCACTGCCTAAATTTGGCGTCATGAGTGATGGCATCTGGTGGAGGCAGTGCAAACTCTGTGCACTCATGTGCCTGGCTTTTTCTTTTGTCTAAAACAGCATCATTTTGTTTTTTAGACAAAAGAGGAAAACAGTGTTTGTAACTTCCGCTGTCAGAAATCGGTAAAGAATGGTTGAGGCACCAGGACCACCTGTCATGACGTTCCTTAGGGTCAATGCAAGGAGGTCAGCCTGAACATTAGACAAATGCAAAGAGAGAAAACAAACATACAGACCTCTCTGTGTTTGTCTAATGTTCAAGCTGACTTCCTTGTATTGACAAGTACCAATTAGCTCAACCTAAGCCTGTTATTCAAGCCTTACGGTGTCGGGTATCGGTTAAAGAAAAGCATAAAGAACCCAATTCTGCTTGCTCGCATTTGAGGGGAGGAGATGCACTTGGTCAGGTTGTGGTTTTCTTGGCAACATTATGAAACCATCCAAAATCTGTGCAGCACCCCCATGCTCTTAAAGTTAATCTTGCCTTTTGTTAGAGACTGCACTAGAAGAATGGGGACAAAGTGAAGCACAAGTTCTCAAAACTTTCTGACCTTGAGGAACCTTTATCTGGCTCGACTGAAGACCAAGGAACCCCTCCTTATGCAATAAAGCAGCACAAAAGCCCACAGGCCTTCTAAACAATCATGCACTTACTAGATAGTGCTTGGCTCATAGCTAAGCATCAATCAATGGCTCAAATCTGCCTACTTAATCTGGAAAGGCACTTTACTTTGGGACAAGTGCGGTCGAGGAAATTGGGGAGCTTGAGAGTGCTCTGGGGAACCCTCGAGGGTGCTCTGGAGAACCCTTGGGGGTGCGCCAAGGAACTCTTAAGGGTGCTCTTGAGAACCCTCGAGAGTGCTCTGGAGAACCCTTGGGGGTGCTCCAAGGAACTCTTAAGGGTGCTCTTGGGAACCCTCGAGAGTGCTCTGGAGAACCCTTGGGGGTGCCCCAAGGAACTCTTAAGGGTGCTCTTGGGAACCCTCGAGAGTGCTCTGGAGAACCCTTGGGGGTGCTCCAAGGAACCCTTGAGGCTGCTTCTGGAACCCTTAAGGGTGCTCTGGGGAACCCTGTTTGAGAACCCACGCTTTAAGGTACAATGCCTCAAAATTGGAGCGCTCGAGGTGGTTTGCTAACGCCGCCGTTCCCTCCCCTTGCGCAGACTGCGAGTGCCACTCCCCGGGCACCCTGGGGGGGCTGCGGGTGTGCGACGGCCAGAGCGGCCAGTGCCTGTGCAAGCCCAACGTGGGCCAGCACCAGTGCACAGAGTGCCTCGACGGGACCTTCCACCTCCAGGACCAGGACCTGCTCGGCTGCCAGGGTGGGTCTTGGCCTCTGGGCCTTGGCATTTTACTCCCGTCTTCTGTAGATGGGCATCCAGGGCAGTGGGGTGCTTTCGGTCGCTGACCGGACGGCAACCTTCTTTTCCTCACTGCTTGTCTCATACTGTACTTTCTTTTGTAGTTATCCTCTCTCTATTTCACTGACTGTGCAGGTATTTGCTCGCGAACTTTTTATTACTTGTTTATTTATTTATTGCAATACCCTCGGGGCCGAAAGGGCATTACAGAAGGTAGTGGGCAACTGAACACAGTAAAAAGACATACATATGAGTTGAACGCGGTTACGGGATTTCAAAAGTTATTATTAATGGTAGTTTTAAACAAATCTAACGATGGTATTGATATTATAGATGCAGGCAGGTGGTTCCACTCTGATGATGTTCTAGGTTGGAAGGAATCGTTATAGGCTGAGGCCTGACAGTGAGGAATGCCAACTTTGAACTGATGGTCGAGGAAGAGTGTTTCTTTTAGGAGAGGATTAGTATGATATATTTTGTAGAGAAGACATAGAAACCTATGGCACAATAAAAGAAGAGGTAAAGAGAGGTTAATTTTCATGAATGAAACACTGGGTGTTTGATGATAGTTGGTTATTATAATATGAGCACTGCAATTTTGAAGTGACTCCAGGTTAGCTGTGAGGGTGGTCTAAACAGGACACCAGATTGCAGCAGCATTATTTGAGCACAAAAAGCTTCAGGGAGACGGGGGCTAAAGGAAAGTGATATGTCAAAGAACAAAGCTCTGCCCAGAGGATATACTAATGGGTGTGCAAAAGGAGCATTGTCTGCTAGTTGTAGCAATGACTGCCTTGTTTTTCCTGCGACTGCCAGAGATCCACCAGTTCTTTACAAAGCTGAACTTGGCCTCTGAAACAAATGTACACGCCTAATCATGCTGACAAAAACCTGTGTTCACAGAATGTGCTGCAGAAACCACACTTCCATGTGTGGTTTGTGCTAGATCTTTAAATCCTTTAATCTCTCTTTTTTTTTTTAACCTTTTGTGATGTTAGGTGCTAGCCACCATAAAGGATGCTGTCTGCTGGGGAAAAGTTGGCTGTACACAATTATTTATCCTCACTGTTTTTTGCACCTCCTTTCATATGTGGTAGGAGGCATTTTAGTTGACTTGTTCGCTGTATTTTATTTTTGTGAATTTGGTGGCAATTTGTGTTAGAGGGCAGCTCCACTCAATTCAGGAAATTTCAAAATTATGAGTGATTTCACATTTAAAAGCACCAATAAAAGCCACTACATCATTTGCTTCTCAAGAAATGGGATATATTTTGTGAAATCTTACTTTAAACATGAGCAGACACTGAAACCAAAACTTTGGCTCCGTCAGGCAACATTGGCTTCCGGCCGCCCAAAATATAGCTATTGCGTGGTACGTGCGGTCACATAATCTTCTACGCAACAATGGGCGGGATCAGGGTAAGTAACTTAGGACGGGTGTGTGCAAGGTGCAAGTGTCTTCTGCACTGCAGTCTTCACCACGTTTTGGTGTCTACGATATCTTACAAGGTCTGCATAACTGCGGCATCAGTCTGTGCACGTAGTGTGTACAAAACTCGCGAGAGTCAATGATTGCGGCTGGCGAGGCGATGATGACGACGGTTGAGACGTGTCAGACGGCGGTAACAGCAGGCTGGACGGCTCTCCCAAGGCTGAGAAGCGGGCTGCGCAGGCGTGTTTAGCCAATCACGTGGATACCGCCGAGCACCGAGCAGAGACGCTGGTGACGTCCCCCATTACGCTTGCCGGGGGAAGTAAAAACAAACAAAAAGTAGACTTCGTTTCAGCTTAAGTCCTGATGCAGCCGACGCTACAAGCTTGAGCATGTGGCCCCGAACGGTACTTGCACTGCTTGAGCGTGCGTGCTTGGCAGGAACGCTGAAAGCCTGCCAAGACTTCAGCTTAAACAAAGTATTGCAATATTGATGACGTTTAACTCAATGTCGGCTACGACTGCGCTGTCAACAGTGCCTCAATACGCCCGTTAGAGTCGCCCAATTTTGGCAACTTGGCACTTTCCAAAGTCAGCCAGACCGTTTAAGAAACATTTAGAGAGAACTTGGTCGTAATATTTTACGTGTGGCCTTCGTAGAGAATACTGAAGAGGACTGCATTGTTTTTTCAAAACTGAAGCGTAGTTGTCGTTTAAGCATAGGCATAAGTAATAGTTTGGCAACACTGTGCCGCTCCTTTTGTGTTGCGCAGACTGCCAGTGCGACGTGGGCGGAGCGGTGGGCAGCTCGTGCGACGCCCGGAGCGGGCAGTGCCAGTGCCGGCCCCGCATCACGGGGCGCCGTTGCTCGGAGCCCCTGCAGGCGCACTTCTTCCCCACGCTGCACCAGCACAAGTACGAGGTGGAGGACGGACACACCCCCAGCGGGGTCAACGCCCGCTTTGACTTCGACAGCGGCCTCTTCCCGGGCTTCTCCTGGAAGGGCTATGCCATCTTCTCCAACATTCAGGTGAGAGACAAAAATACTCTACTCGCTACAGTGCAATCCACTTATACCGATACCACATAAAACAATGTACTGCTTATAATGATCAGTTTCTAGGGTTTCTAGTTCAGATACAGTGCTAACCTTTTAAAACGATTGAATTTTCAGGTTTTTTAATTATCGTTATAAGTGGATTGCACTGTACGTTGTACAGTCATGTGTCGTTAATACGAACCCCATTAAAATGGATGCCCCCTTTATATAGGCAAGGTTTTCTAGGATGAATTGGGTAAATACACATTTTTTTGTCTCGTTATAATGAACAACTCGCAATGTTTTGGGGAACGGAGGCGTCCCTATGGACGAGACAGCACTGTTATACCATATAACCTTACAATCTGTTACGGGAGAGTCTGTATAAGAAAAGACACAAAAATGTGCTGGATTATGGAACTGGTCTTAGCTGGATCCGGCTGGGACCAGTTTCATAATGCAGCTGCGGGTGAACTGTTAATATATAATTATAGCAAGAGTGACATTGCAGTGATTCATCAGCATCACATGATATGGTGTGTTGCATCACATGACGCTTCGCATGACGACGTTGTTTGGAGCACCACGCAACACGACATGCAATGTCTTGTTATTATGTCGCCTGACATGTGTGGTCTCAGATGCCTCCAGCTGAAAATCAGACAATCTGAATGGATCCAGCTAAGACTGGTTGCCTAATCCAGCTGAAAGTGGACTGCATGGTTTTCACCTGGGACGGGACCAGCACCTGGGAGCTCTCAACAGCGGTGTTCATCTTAATGTGGGCATTACCCCGATCCTTTAGCACAGTTTTCTCTCGCAGGTATGCGCAAATCACCAAACTTTAGCACTGAAGTTGGTACCGTATTTGAATCTCTGAGAACTAGGAAACTGTCCATTTGCTTGTTGGGTCTGACTGAGTCTTACTCTATACTTGAAATGGAACGGGCCCAAGACCAGGGTGTAAGGTAGACAGGTGGGGAAACGAGAGTCAGATGAGCGACCGGATTGTGTCCCCCTCGGTTTTCTCTTTTTCTGTGGCGCCATCTATGTGGAGCACCGCAAACTCTCACTCCGGGTGGGCGACCGGTGGCGACCAGCTAAACTGACGGAGATGGTTTCTCGTGGATTTTCAATGGGGGACTGTCGTGCTCTCGGTTTATTTTGCGCACTCTCCCGTAGAGTTGCACGCAAATCCGATTCCGACTTTTTTTCCTCTCGCCGCAGCACCATCTGTCGCAAATCGGGGGTACCCGCAAGCAGACAAGTACACAATCCGGTCACGGCGCTGCGGTAGGCTTCTATGGGCCGTTTCCCCACCTGTCTATCTTACACCCTGCCCAAGACTAAGATCGTTTTCCACCTTGCCCTATTCGCACTGCTTAGAGGGCATCTACATCAGTATACAAAGACACAATTCTTGACAGTATAATGCAGGGACTAATCCTAATGCTATCATTTATTGAGCATATAGGGAGTATTCACTGGCGGCCATAGCTGTGTGCGCGACTGCTGAGCGCGTGCTGATTGCGAGCTTCCACAGTCCTTTTGCAACGTGCATTCCGGCCCATGAAGAGTGCCGGTCTTAGCAGCCTATTGATGTGAGCTCGTTCGGAGCATGCGCTCTAAACAGCACCCACAAATGTGGCGTCCAGTGAATACTCCCTATAGGTATACAGTGTAGACCGCATATAACGTATGTCTGGGGAGTCGCGAAAATCCGCACTATAAGCGGTACCGCACTATAACCAAAACATCAATTTTTCAGGCCAAAATACATGCCATGAGACAACTTACCTTTGTAAAAGAATTTATTTTATGTTAGATGAAAAAATAAGCTTAGTTTGAGGAAAGTCTTTATTTCAATAGACTAGTACAGTTATGTCTCAAGTGCGTCACACATTTTAAAAGAAATTAGCGGCTTTTGCCTGGCGCAGCCTTTTAATGGCGTCGCGGGTTGCGGACGGACGTTGCGAGCGTTCAGGATTGCTAACCCTAATCACTTTTCTCCGGAGATGAAAACGCGTGAAAATTCGTATCCTTCATACGCTACGCGCCAGTAATACCTTGAACTTGAGCACACGCATGAATTGCGCCAAATAAGAAATCCGGGCGATGTTCGAGGACACAAATGCTTAGAAATCACCACTGTAGTCGAAGTAAACAAACACGACGACACGGGCGTTTTTGCCGTCTTGAGAGCGCCGCCACGACATCGCCGCACGAGTAGGTGCTGGTGCTGCCCCCGAGCCGAGAGCCCCGCTTCCAGGGGGTGGTGGGGCAGGACGGGGTCACTGCCCTCCCCTTCGTGCTGAACCCCGGCCGATGGACCCTTTCCATCAAGGCCCCCCGGCCCGTCTTCCTGGTACGTAGCGGATGCGTGGTCCCTGCCTGCCCGGGACGCGTCTTTGGCCGGTGTACTTAGCATCCTGTCCCTCCCACGCAGTGAAGTGGTCCCGAAGTGGCTACAGAGTATGTCGCGGGAGCTGGCATGTCACGTTGTCGGACGTTGCAATCCTGGCAGTTGGTCGTAGAAGTTTTGCAAAAAGAGGCAAGCGAGCGAGGGTGGCGTCGTCGTCGTGGCATGCCAACTCCTGGCTGCTCAAGCGTCTGTGGATTGTCAAGCTCGTGTGCGACCTGCTGTAGAACTCCACGGCTGCGACGCCGCCGGGGGTCACGGCAGGCGATGGCGCGCCACTTCTGCGATGTCCTCAGTCAGAAATTGAGAGAGGACGTGTGAGGATGCAGTAATTACACCAGTCGGAGACACGTTCTGCCACCATACCCACGGGGAGGAAGGCTGCGCGTCGGCCTGCCGCCTTGGTGGTCTTGAGGCAAAGCACCGGCCTACGGATCCCCAAGTGGCAGGTCCGAATCTCGGCCGAGGTCCCTGCAATTTGATGGAGGCTTATTGCTGGGAGCCAACATTTCGGTTGCGTGTAAAAAGGTCCCCGGGCAGTTGAACTCGATCCTCGGTTATTTAGTACGCTTAGGCGTACCGAATGCCCTTCATTGGTTTGGCACGTAAAACTTTGATTTGATTCGCTGGGTCGGCCCCCCGGAACGTGGGAGTGAGTGTGGCCCCGCATTCCCAGGACTACATGGTGCTGCTGCCCGAGGCCTTCTACGAGGCGACGCTGCTGCAGGAGCGGGTGCGCCACCCGTGCCTGCGGGGGGGCAACATGGCGGGCCCTTGCCGCCAACTGCGCTACCCGGCCCTGCCGGACACGGCCGTGCCGGTGGCCGCCGCCCAGGGAGCGGACGGACAGGGTGCCCCCGTGCAAATTCTCGACGACGCGGACGTCCTGGAGGTACGAGAGCTCGGCTCGGGCCGTGGCTTGAAAAGCTTTCTTGTGGATATCTCCAACTCGTGTGCTTTGTCTGAGAACCGTGTGGCAGCACTTCAAATGACGCTTACAATGTAGGTAGGCGTCAATAGTAGGTAGATAGTAGGTAGACCTCAATGTATCTACCGGCCCTGGGCCGGTTTGCTGATCAAGGTGGGTATCGCTCTCGACGGGTTAACCACCCGGAAGAGGAATTTTGAAGTCACTACGCGGGGACAAGAAACCAGGGTATCTAGCGCATAGGTGTACGGCTGCCGTAATTTCCTTCCCTCTTTGAATACTAAAGTTTGATTCCAGGCACAAACACAGGAACGAACTCGATTATGGCCGCCAGTGAAGGTTTCGGTGTCCACGGTCCTCCAGAATCGATTCGACAAACGGCGTCGACCCACACCCTCCTCAACTCTGAGTTTTTGAGGAACCGGTGAAAACACAAGCTTGGGTTGCGCAGCAGGTTGTTTGCACAACCCACAGCTTGGCAAGGAGTGCTCGGCATTGTGCAACGATGCCAGTCCCTTGGGCTCCTCGCACTTCGGCAGCACGACCCGATTGAGCGAGCAGGGAGTCGAGAATCTTTGTGCACGGTCGCTGAGGAGCACTTACAATCAACAACCACTAAAGCGTAACATAACGAGCAGAAATCTTACGCTGGGACAGCTGAAAACAAAGCAGAAAAGCATGGTAAGGGAAGTGGCAATACGAACAAGTAACCTGCTTGAGTGCGGACGTGACGACGGGGCCCAAGGTTTCTTGGGCCCCGACGCCAACTCGCCGAATGCCCGAGGATAAGCTGGTGGTAACATCTTTAATATCGGTTTTAGAGTGGATCGCACTTTCTCATTAGCGTAATATTTTGGCAGTGCTCGTATTTAGTCTCCGTGAATCGATACCAGTCACTTATTTTAGTTCGACAACTAATTCGAGTTACCCTTTAAGGGAAGACATGGGTCTTTGGCACTAAAAACTCCCTAAAATATCATAGTTTTGGAAATTACTATTTTAAAAATGCAGCTATTTTTTTTTGTGATCTACCACTTTTTTCATTTTTTAGACCAGTATTTGAGCCATGATATAATTTTATAGTACCGCTGCGGGCTGAATTTGCATTGAAGTTCGTACTAAAACAGTGCTTTCTTAAGAGGGATTCACCGGCAATTTATTTGTAGTCTCTTCCTTCTAGATGGTGCTAAACTTTTCCGGAACAAACGACCTGCTCCCAGTTGGGTATGCAGCTCAGGGTTGGCTTGGGACACAAGTTGTTGACCGTCGATTTAGGCGAGCTGTAGATATTGTTCGCGGAACATGAGCCAGTGATGTAGAACTGGCTCCAAAGTTAGAACCACGTTTCAACCATTTGAATGCACCTATTTAACGTGAACGCCACATTTGTCGATTGCGTTGTGCATTGGTTGTATACGCTGGTTGTCTTCATTTGCAGACAACCTCTGTACTGTCACAAGTTATGGAGTCGCCAGCACAACCGGCACCTTGATTGCATGTACCGGGCTCGTCTGGTGACAACAAATAGGAGGCAGTGCGTTGCGATGGAGTTTAGCAGCGAGAATTTCGCTGTTAAACTTCGCTTCGTGCAATCCATTCTTTAGACGTGGATAAATGATGACTATCGTTTGATCATGTACAAATTGCAATCGTAGGCAGAGAAGGACTTTTGACCGGTACAGTTTTCAATGTTCGTACTTATGCATGCATTACTCGCTTTCTGTTGCAACGAACATGCGCATGCTAGGCCATGAAGATCGCGAGCTGAGCTGTGTGGTGTTCAATAGCCGAGTAGTTTGTAAACAAAGGGCTTAAAGCCGGTGCAGTGCTCAATATTCGTGCGCATGGTGGGTGCTTTGCTCGCTTTCCGAATCAATGAATAAGCGTGTGCTCGGCGGAAAAGATAGCATGCTGGCTGTGATTTTGTAAACATCGGAACGGTATATAAGCATCTGTCAGCGTCTGCTCTTGCACGCTATATGGAGCACAAAAATTTAACGAAAAAGAGAACACATCCTTAGCTTCTTATATCAAAATGATAACAATGCTTTCCTTTTGGCTTTTTATAAATATGCATATAAATGTATATACATACGCAGTTATCCCGTGTTGTAGCTGTGTATGCTTCCATCACTGTTCCGTTCGCAGCAATATAACCTAGTTTGGACACAGTATAGCCTACAAAGCAGTTCTTTTTTGCGTCATAAGACCCGTGATCCCCATCATTGTGGCGGTCGTCCCCAGGAGCTGCACAGCGGGCCCATGGCTCACCTGGACGAAGACCACGGGTCCCTGCGGCTGGACCTGCGAGTGCCCAGGGCCGGGCCGCACGCCCTGGTCTTCTTCTACCACTCGCTGGACAATGACGGCTCTGTGGCCGCAGACCTGGTGCTGTCGGGCGCCGACCGGCTGGCCACGGGCAGGGCAAACTTCCACCACTGCAACTACAACCTGCTCTGCCGACAGGTGCGCTGCACGGGCTGCTTTGCTTCCGCCGCGCTCTGCACACTGCTCAGATGTTGTGTCCATCCCACCCATTCCATGGCTTGGTTCTGGTGCCGAGTAAAAATGGTGCCATCGTTTTTGCGAGATTCGTTTAGATATTTTGTGCCCTTTCAGCCTGTTCTTTCGCCGGGAGATCATCCTCTCATCTTGTTCGATTGATTACACAGTTTTATTTCTAGCACTGGCCTGTTACACAAGTTCCAATACAACACGTGTCTCTCAGGTCACATGTCATACTAAAAGAATGTGATGTGTAACCTAGTTTGGTGCATTTTGCACCATAAAACGCTTCATCATCAGGTTGCTTTGTTTGGAGGCTAACCTGCGGAGTTGATGGCCTTTCTTAGGGCTAATATGTCATGTGCATAATTCATTCCTTGAACATTGAATGACTACAATTACTTACCTGCATCACTTGTATCAGTTGTTGACTACACACTTTTGTCGTACAGCTATTGCTAACTATCAGTTCCTTATTGTTTAAAAATTGTACAAGGCCTCTCCGAAAAAAACTTTACACTCTTTTTAGTTACGAAAATTACCTATACACTCCGTGCGGGAACTATAGGGGGCGCTTTGAAAAACGCGAGCAGCGCCGCTAGCGGAGGAGCTGGCGTTCGACTGTGAGACGCGTTCAGCAGCCTGCGGCGCCTTTTCGCATGCCAAGCTGTGGCGGCGGAAGCGCGCACAGACGAAACTTTTGCTTTTTGAGCTGATAAGTTGAGGGTGACGTTGCATGAGTGCTGGGGCAGAAGGGCATTTAGCTGTTCTCCACTTCTTATATATTGAGTTTGAGTCGTAATTAGGGGTAATTTCTCTAGTTGCGGCCGAAAAAGGAGTTGGAGTAATTTTCCGAAAAACAAAGAGGGCCGCCACCTTAATTGATCCGAGTGGGAAATTTATTTCGCTCGTCACTGTAAACCTAGGACTGCTGCAAAGATGATATTTGGAGGCGAGTGAGATGTTCACTAAGTTTGTGCACGAAGAGTGCCAAGTTTCTTTAAGACAGCAGGTGTGAAAGTTATGTTTTTAACGAATAAAGAAATAAAGCTGTACGGGATATCCAATATTGGTCCCTAAATGTGCCTACCCGGTTACCACGGGGATGCCACCAGGGGGAACCACGACAACTGCCTCATCTGTGCCTGCCCGATCTCGTTGCCCTCCAACAAGTGAGTTCCAGTGACAGGAAATCGAAGACGACTGCTTGACACCCGCTTCTTTTTATTTCTTTTCCAGCTTCGCCGACAGCTGCGAAGTGTCTCCGAGCGGACAAGAGATTAGCTGCAACTGTAAGAAGGGCTACTACGGACCTCGTTGCGACGTGTAAGCATGACCTGTCTTGTTTTAACCTGTTAATGGGCCGAGGCATCTCGGAGTGTGTCGGAACAACTGCAAACTCGAGCAAAACTTTGGATGGACAAAACTGATGACCTATTGGTCTGTTGATACCTTCTATTGGCATAGGCTCATTGGCTGCTTCGGTCTATCAATGTATCATTCTGCACGTATTTGGTCTTTTGACATACGAGTCCCATGCATAGACGCACGACTGACGTCGCACCACTGCCATGACGCTGCTACGGGCGCAGATACTTTATGCGTGAATCTGGTTTCTGTGCACACGCAGTGCTCACACCTGGCGTTGGCAAACACGGACTTGTTTGTAAACACCCTGATGTTGGTCTATAGGCATTTTACCGAGAGTTTCACGAGAGATTCAGTTTCTCCTGGATATGTGCATTTTTTGAGCCTTAATTATTTTTCTTTCATGCATGCACGCTCTTTGTTGCACAGTCACAAAGCAGGCTCACAGAGTTTTGGCTAAATGAAAAAACCGGTCTTCCATGCAGCTGTGATGCGGGCTACTTTGGCGAGCCCGACATGATTGGCAGCAGCTGCAAGCCGTGCGAGTGCAGCGGCAACATTGACCCGGCCAACCCGGCCTCTTGTGACTCGGTGACGGGGGAGTGCGTGCTGTGCCTCAACAACACGTCCGGACCCGCCTGCGAACTGTGCGCTCCGGGATTCTACGGCGACGCCATCTCGGTCAAGGACTGTCGCAGTAAGCGCTTGCCTGCTCCAACTGACAGTCCAACTAGGGAATGGAAACATCTTAAATTAAGATGCTTCCCTTCGCTAGGGTGTGAGAATGAAACCTTTGTGCACTGTTACTGTGCAGATATTGTGAAGGATAGCGTATTTGCAGGTTTAGTATCTTACAAAGTGTTCTGTAATAGTGGCATCATCATTGGGTGAGAAGTTGCGGGACTTATGACGCAGGGGGTAATTTTTAGAGGTATCACCATTTAAAAAGAAAGAACCTGCGTAAGGGTTCTTTTATCTTAGAAACTAGGTTGCTCGAAATGTCTGTTGCAGTACATCGTAACGCCCATTGTGGTACATTGTAACATGAAATGTTGTAAAGGGATTACATACGCAGGCATTTACTCGCAACATTGCACTCGATCGTTTATTGTGTAAGAGGGCCCCGTAGCTTTGAAGCAACTGCATCCATTGCCGGCAGTGTAACGGGAGCCTGCGTGCTTTCTCTCGCAGAGTGCTCCTGCAACCAGTGCGGCATGCACTCCTGCAATCCCCTCCAGGGCACCTGCAACTGCCACTCCAACGTGGAAGGGAGCCTCTGCGACCGTTGCGCAGTAAGCTGCCGTAGTTGACCGCTCATCACCGCAATATCGCTGTGTCATCCTGCACCCTCTGGCAGTATGAGTGGTATACGCTGTCTCGTGGTGGCCTCCCATTTGGCCGAGTGAAAACTGTTCTGATGTTAGCCTGAGACTGAGGCAGGAAAAGAGGAAGTTTCAAAGTAGAAGAAAAAGGAACAGTCGAGGATACGTCTCTATGAAAACTGTAGTTTCATTGGAAGCATACAAATAACATTTTATCTTTTGATGGGAAAACAGCTTGGGAGTGACTAGGATCGTAGAAATTTTCAAATAATAGTTTCGATTAATACACTATTCAAAATTTGCTTCCAGGTGACTGTGATATTAATATTTCTTCAGTGTTGATGACGGCGGGTCAATCCCGAGTACTGTGTTTCTTGCCGAGCACTGGTGCTCCGTGGAGAAGCAGCACCCGCAGAAGGTAGCTCCGTGGGTGCTGTTTCTCCGGAGCGTACCGGTGCTCGGTAAGAAACCTGCTCAATGGGGCTATGCTGCCGCGATCAGCGCTTGGAAAAGTAAATATTGGAGTTGCGTGAGCTTTGTGAACGTTATCATCTGTGTAGCGGTAAAATGAAAAGAATTAGACTGTGCTTATTATGCAGGAGCATATATTAGAGGGCAACCTGCGTTTATCATTAGTGACTGCCTTTTCGTTGTACATAAAATACGAGATTGAAGAAAAGATTTTTTTTATGCACAAAGATGTAGTATAAATCCCCTCGATTACCGTAAAATACCGATCAAGCAGGTACTCAAAATTTGAAGATAATCGCGAAAAAATAGGGGATGGGCGCATGTGAGGTCATCAATTTTACATGTAGGGTGGTTCAAGTCACCAGGCTTGATCTAAAATGGACCGTAAAAATCGACTCCTGCACGTAGCCATGTAAACTTTTCGTCAAAGGTGTATTTCACAGGTCGGTTTTTTCTTGTAAAATTACAAAAGCGTAGCTCTCTTTCTGTAAACATTAAGGCCAAGAACCTTGCCAGGGTCTAAGGCAGGCAGCAACGCAGATGACAGAGTTCCGGTAGCGGGGTGTGTTTGGCATTCGTATTGATAGATGGCGCTCCCTCCTGATTGCGACGGCTCGCGACCACCGTGGTTTATTAAAATGAATATAATCTTTTTGAAGTGTACCTTCGGTTAAAAAATAAATGCAAACAATAAAAGCAAAACTTAAGTAAAGAAACGCGTCTGCATAACGGTGGCGCTTTTTCTGCCAACGGATTTCGTCTGCTATCTTTCGCTGGTCGGCTGCACCTTTAGGCACTGCTCTCCGACGCCATCTATCAATACGAACGCAAAACACACCCTGCTACTGGACTTGGTCGTCTGGGTCGCCGTCCGCCATAGACCCTGGCAGGTTTCTTGGCCCAATTTTTTTTACTAAAAGAGAACTACACTTTGTAATTTTACAAGAAAAAACCGACCTGTGAAACAGATACACCTTTGACGAAAAGTTTACATGGCTACATGCAGGCGTTGATTTATATGGCCCATTTTAGGTCGAGCCTGGTCACTTGAACCACCCTTATATATATGTCCTGTGCATATTTTTTTAGATATTTTAAATTTTGAGGGTAGGCGCTTAGTGCGGAATGGGTGGATGCACAGTATTCTACGGTAGGTATTTCGGGGTATCTCTAAAAGTTTAAAACCTTAGGCATTAAACTTTCTGAGGCCGCAGTCCATAAATATAGTTATATATGAATTTAGCTTAGAAATGGACTTCTAAGTGAAAGCTTGGGAACACCCTTATGAGTTCAGCAGGATTTTCGTTTAAGCATGGTGCAGTAGTGAAAGGCTCAGAGAAACTCTTCCATATTCGATTAGAAAATATTCGGCCAAAATCACTATCCGCATCAAATTCGCTTTGAACTCAAAATCCCCTCGTGCCTAGAGTAAACCCATGGAATCGGTATGATGCAAATGAGAAACAGATGTCTTGTGTCATCGTCAACGAGCATATGTATTGGTGCCGTGGCATACTTGTGTCGGAGTGCTTTCCCTAGTGGAGTAATTTTCGAGCTTATCAGCTTCTCATCTTATGACCATAACCTCTCTGTTTGTGGACCATTTAAAAAAATTCAAACGCCAAAAGATTTATCTCGTCGAACTGCATGTGTTAAAAAAAATGTGCTTCAAAAAACTACTTTCTTTTTACAGCGGAGCTGTTAAGGGCTAGTTTCCCCAGCATCGTGTTCGTCAGCAAACAAATGATGACACAAAACTCTGGACAGCTACCACCATCTGTGAGTGACGGTGGCAACCAGACAACTGGCTTGCCGGTTGTCTGGTTGCTACCGCCGCTCATAGATGGCGGCAACGTTTCCAGCCTTTTTACTCTGGTTTTCACCAGAGTGGAAAGGCTGAATTTCTGTAGGCGTCGTCTAAGAAGTCGTCCAACAAGTTGTCCTTGAGGTCGTCTGACCATAGTACAGCTTTGCTGGTCTTCCTTCTTCACCAGAGTGGAAAGGCTGAAAGTTTTTTATGTAACATTTGTTGAGAGCTGAAAAGTTTCTGTTTACGTGCTTCAAGAATGGTCAGTCGTGGCTTGATGGGACATATTTTCGGCCTTTGTTGGCTGCTGAAGATGCTCTCGAGTTGACCGACCGGGTTCTTTCTATTGCACCTCATTTCTGGGTTTCGGCACCAGATGAAAGGACTTCTGGTCGTTATTTTAATCGGCAGTAAACTTTTACGTGTCATTTCTGCAGTGAAGGAAGGATGTCAGCCAGTTGAAATGGTTGAAGCTCATGCTGCTGGTTTTGTTCCCAGTGGCTCTTTCCTCATCGCTGTTTTGCCTAGAAGTTCTAAAGTACCGGCGTGTTCTTCTTGGCCCGCCTTTTAAGGATGCTCAACATTTTGGGCGGACAAACCGCCCTTGGGCTTGCGGTGAGTGAGTGGGCGTGTGTCTGGCCGTGCAGCCCAACCACTGGGGGTTCTCGGAGTGCCGAGGCTGCCGCTCGTGCGACTGCAGCCTGGCCTCTCAGTCCAAGCAGTGTGACCTGGAGACGGGACAGTGCCCCTGCCAGCCGGGGGCTGGAGGGCCGCGCTGCGACGTCTGCGAGCCGGGCTACTGGCGCTATTCGGCCGACGGATGCATCTGTGAGTGGCTCTTTCGCGAGCGCCCACAATACCGGCGCATCTTCAATCGTGGCGTTCATTGCGCCTTTATTTCTGGTTTCCCGATATTCGCCTCTTGGTGCCGCCTCATGTGTTCGTCGTGTCCTCGTTTTTGGCTTTTCAATTTCCGCCTCGTGATGTCGCGTTTAGTTGCTGACTGTGATTTAAGCAGGGGTGAAGCGGCAGTTATGGTGGACGTCTGTTTTGCTGTAGGGTCAGTCGACGGAGACTCCGGCAGCCAGGAGTTGAAAGGCTGTGACAGTGGCGACCCGTTCGTAGCTTCGCCTTCTTTGCTCGCACTTTTGAGACCAACAGCGAGAATTGCGACCACTGGCGGACCCTGCCACTGCCTCCTGGGTTGTAATTTCTTGCCGCTTTTGTACCACTTTGCATGCTCGTGCAGTATAGGACATTAAACGCACCTGTTGGAAACTTGTTTCAGTTACTGTAGTGACAAGTCATTTATGGGTGCCTGTAATAGTATTAGAGGAACGCAACTATGAGGGCGTAACTATCGAGAAAAATTGTTTGTGGCCAGTGATTGAACTTTGATTTTGTGCAAAAACCACCTGTGGAGAATCCACTGTTTGGCGCTTCCCCCACTTTTTTTTTCCTCAGTCATGTATGATAACGATGAGGGTGCAGACCTTGTTATATTGTTGGATACTGTAAAGAACTTTATCTTTGCGAGCTCAATATTTAGTCATTTTTGGAGGCACAAAGTTTTGCGATTTGGAGTAAAATGTTATGGGAAAGGGGTGAATATTACCCCTTTCCCCATGGGGTGATATATTCGCGTAAAAGATGTTTTTGGAAATTGTTCAAGTTGCGAAATTGGCAAAAATTAGGTCCTCAAGAAAATCAAGTAATGTGTAGCGTTGAATGCCGAATAGTGACTGCGAGGGATTGTCGTTTGGCTCTAAAAAACAAGGTCAGATGGGTAGAGAGAGCAAGCTGGAGCAAAAAAGGCAGTTAGAGAATGGATTTCGTCGAAGCCAGTCGACCTGGCTTTCGTTAAACAATCTCACCATCACCAACAAAGTCGTCGGCCCAGGGGAGCGCTTCAATTCTCAATATGTATCTTAGAAGTAATAGGCTGCCTGAGTCAGATACATATTCATTAATAAATATATAAAATCCATAACGCACAATTTTATTACCACTGAAATGCAGAAAAACATGTCAATTTAGATAAACTTTCAACAAAAAGGTTCAGGGGACTGAAATGACCCCAAGGACTTCTTGAGTCTGACATCACATTCTTCTCTGTCCTTGTCCTCTGGTTTTGGTTCGAGCTTGCTTTTTATAGAAACTCTATAGAAAAAACATATTTGGGGTAGTGTCCTGGCATCATATTTCAGTGCTTTGCATGGAAAAGTAATTTTTATGGTTCGTCGGAGGGCGTTTCATGTGGCAGATGCTCTCCGAATGTCGTCCAACAATGTGCCTCGTGTTTCAGCGTGCAACTGTGCGGCCAAGTTTTCGGCGGGTGCCGTGTGCAACCAGCAGACGGGCCAGTGCCAGTGCCTGCCCGGCGTGGAAGGGGACAAGTGTGACCGGTGCCCCTACCGATGGGTCTTCGTGGAGCGCGAGGGCTGCAAGGGTGGGCTTCCATTCACCAGCCATGACAGGCTCAAATAGGGCGCCTTAAATGCGTGGTCACATTGTGAGGGTTTTGTGAATGTATGAAGAGTTCGCAATGTCATGTGATGTCATGGTGTGACGTGGCGTCACCTTGTCAAGTGACGTCAGGCTTCCTAATATCTGCACTACTGTTGACAATGTTCTCTAGGCTTGTGCACTGCTTTGTTGTACCACTGCCTCTAGTGGGAGGGGTTTTCTTTGCTGACAGTCAAGAGAGAGGGGGGGTCTGTCACAAAGTTTCAGAATCCTTGAACACAGAAAAGAAAGACGCGTCGTGTTATGTTGCAGAATGACCTCATGTCATCGTCCTAAGACAGATGCCTGCAGATGAATTGCACCCTATAGATTCAAAGAATAAGTGCCAGAAAAAAGGAAGCAAAAGGAGTAGGTGTCCTTCTGTGACAGAACACGTAAACGTTGCAACCAATCGTATAAATCAAAAGGTTAAAAAGATTTTTTTAAGGTTTGTCATAGGCTGACAACCTCTCTGGGTGGCACATATAATTCAACTGCTTTATTTTAATGATTAAAAAGCATGAGAGGACAACGGACACAGAAGGAGACACAGACACAGCGATAAGCACTGTGTCTGTGTCTCCTTCTGTGTCCGTTGTCCTGTCGCGCTTTTTAATCTTTAGGAATCACCAACAAGCCCAACTTTCTACTCTCGTCTGCTTTAGTTTTATTGCGCACATCACGTGTGGTAAAGGAACCGTTGCGCATTACAGCCAGTAGAATTGAAGAAGCAGTTAAAATATTTAGACTGAACTATGCGTGGTGCGATGGATGGCCGAGTGTGTTATTGCATACCGGCTCGTAGCATGAGGAGCGAATGCTCGTGCTGCAGACCCCAGGGATCCCGGGCTCAGTCTCCACCGCTACCCATTTCTATCTTTACAAACATCGTACCGACGTGCGGTCGTCTGTCACCATTGCGCAGTGCACGTTAAAGACCCCAGGTTGGCAGTTGTACTGCACTGGATAAATTTCTCAGCTACAGTTCTAAGAAATCTGAAAAGTCTACATTCCAGTCGTTCTGATTTACAGAGCGAGCTTGGCAAATGATGAGGCTGGATATATGTTAAGACTTAAAAAGCATTGTGCGCTGCGCGACTGGGCATGACGTTTCATCGCACCTACTGTCTCAGCAAAGACAGTTCTTTAAGCCTAAACATAGAGTTTAAGCTGGTTATAACAGACTTTGATTTTGACCGAGATTTCGGTCTGTTGTAAGAGGAGTATGTTGTATCAGATATGAAGTTGAGTCAATGGCATGTAAAGGAAAACCAACCGAACTTCATAGATCGGTATGTTATATCCAAATGTTTGTTGTAACGAGCTTAGACTGTATTTACAGCCTTGTCATTTACCGAGCTCTCTTTATGGATTGCAGCGATTGACTCACCCAAGTGCTTTGCAGGAAAGTAGGGACCAGATGTACATTGGGGCTGTCTTCACTTCTTGCCGTCTAAATGTGCACACAGCACAATTCACCGATGTGCGTTGCTTACGGACGCAGAGTGTGGCGAGTGCGTGCACGCCCTGCTGGATGACACGGACAGCCTGGAGCAGATGATCGACAACATCGGGGACGAGATGCGTGACATCTCCTCCACTTACCTGGCCAACCAGCGGCTGCAGCTCGTCAACCAGACTGCGCACGACCTGAAAGTGGGTCCCTCGTCTTTCTTTCAATTTATGGGATGTACTTGTATTTCCCCAAAGAACTGTAGTCATCAAAATTGGCGGCATGTTTGGTCAACCTCCCAATCGCATTTAAATGCTGTAGCTTTAAAGGTTAAGCGGTGCTTATAGTTTGGATGGTGCCTGGGGCAGGGTTTCTTATGGAAACGAATTGCATCACACCATTGTCTCTTTCTGACACTGAGCGCGCTTCCCTTCAGCACCCCCCGGATGCAAAGCCTTTGCACTGAATTTTCTGGGTCACCTAGAGAAGTGAAGCACGCTTTCTCGCTCTTTCCACCCCTCTGCTCTTCGTGCCACCTTACACCACCTGCTTCTGCTCCTTTCGTTTTTGCGTGCTGGGCTTGTAGCTCGGTCAGCACCGCACTCGGCTTCCACGCCGGTGGCGGGTTCAATCTCTGGCACCGGTCGCCGCTCTTTTTCGGAATCGTCTAGTGGTTAGAAACTGACCTACCTACACATTTTGTGCTTGGGCAGCTCCTGAGGTTGGCTGGCCCTATAACGCTAACGCCTTAAAAGTGCAGCTCCTTGCGGAGCATCAATTATTTTCTTCTTTATGTAGCAAATTAAAATATATCTTGGTGGCATTTAGATTAGCTGTAAATTATTTTATCAATTAAGACATACAAATTCCAAAGGCCAAGAGCATTGTTTCCTTCTTCCACAATCAAATCTTGTAAGAACTACCTCGCGCTACGTATGAACCGTGAGCAAAGCTTACTTTTTTCTTGAGTTATTGAGAGCAATGTTATTAGGTGCACTCAGGTGCGGAAGTTTGCGTAGGCGCTCTGGACCAGTTTCATGTAACATACCGTAAAATACCGAGCAAGTGTCATGCAAAGTTAAAGATAGCAAGTGGTGGTTTGGGCTGGTAGGTCTGTCGTGTACGAGAAAGCGGCACCTAATAAACGTAAGGAAAAAAATAGACAGAAACAGTACAGAGTGCTCCTGTTTTGTCTATCATTGCCCTGGCATTTATTTGGCACTGTTTTCTTGTACGGGAGATCATTTAAAAATATGGGGATGAGTGCTTGTTCGGTTTGAAAGCAGAAAAGCTACGTGGTAGGGCAGGTTTTTGTTTGATCCGATTGAACAGTATAGGAGATATATAGGGGTCTGGCAAAACCCTAATTTTCAAAGCAGACATGGCACTCTCGTCAAGCCTGCTCTACTGCATCGCGCTGTCTTCTTGAAGAGGCATCCAGTGTGGTGAAGCACTTCAGTTAGCTCGGTGGGCTCAGAAGTTTGTTGGGATGGACACTTCATATTTTCTCGGCTTATATTTGAAATGTTTCTGTAGTAAGGGGTGGGCACTTATTGAGACATGGGTGCATACTCGGTTTTGAATGCGAAAGCATTAACTGTCTCATGAAGCGAGCCGACGTCATCACCTTTGAAGCCACGCAAACGGCTCTTAAATGCTCTCCAAATCAAGCTAGCTCCCATTCGCCGGTTAGCCATGGCACCTTTTACGCCGTTTCGATCCCATTGGCTAGCGCACGTCGACCAGGCTCCCATTCGCCGGACACGCAGCGCCAGGTCAGCGCCAGCCGGCGCGCCAACACGCGTAGAGCAAGAATGATGCACATGCTTTCGCACTCACAACTCATAAGAAGTGCTTAGGTGTACCTCAGTTTTTTTTCTTGGTATTTCAGGCTTCAAATCTCACCGGATTTCATGGTGGACACCTATGCTCTGTGTATTATTGGTCACAAAGGCAGTGTTTTCCAGCTCGCTCAAATTTCCTTCTTATGTAATCGACTGCGTCTGATGGAGCAGCTGATGAGATAAAAGAGCTTCGGGTGGTACTCAGTTTTTATACATACCACTTTTTATTATGGCTAAGACGAGCCGGCGCTCGAGAAGTCGGCTTGTTGAATGAAATGGCTCCGGCATATGCTGCCGATCTAGTTCTCAAGGGGGAAAAAACGGAGTACTGTTGGGTTTAAAGGGATACTTCAACAATATTTGAAAGATTCCCGTTGTGTTCAAAAATAGGTTGAATATGATTCCTAATATCCGTAAATGACAATCGCACGTTTGTATATTGATTCTGGTGGCTGTATTTTTCGTTATAAACGGCCCACTCTGGCAAGCGCTCGGAGAAGGCCCAGCGGAGACCACGTGACATCCAACGCAATCGTGACGTAGGTCGTCTCAAGACGAGCAAAGCTACGGCGAGGCTGACGTCGAGAGGATGGCCTAGTCGTTCCAGCCACCGAAGCGGCTGCTTTTGTACGAATTTTGAGCGACGGGTTAATCTTCTATAATCTTGTGGGGGGACAATAACGACTACTGCGGCACACAAAAGGCATTCTCGGGAAGAGGGGAGTTCCTCCTTTCCCCCTTCTCTCGTCGTGGCCGGAGGCGAGACAACCTCCGTCACTAGCTGTCAAGGTTCCTAGACGGACATTACAAGCGAGGCGTTAGCGACATCCATCAGGTGCTCTTTGCTAATCGTTTAATTAGTCTTAAAATTTCTTTTCGAGCCTTTTTTACAAGATATTGGTATGTTCGATGTGATGCTGCTCCTTTGAACACATATAGACCAAGAAATGAGCGCCGAAATTTTGTTGTAGTACCCCTTTAAGCGACCCAAATACAGCCCCAATTCTTCAGTTCTGTCATTGATCGAGCTAATAAACAATTCCTTACATGCAAACGAGCAGGGAAAATAATGGAAAATGTTCCCAGCTTTATATTTGGATATATATAAATTTTATTATGCTCACAATGGTATGGTCCCTTTGAATATATTATCTGAAATGGGCTCATACTTCCCAAGTACCATGTTGAGGCCGGACTTCATGGAGCAAATACGGTGAAATAACACTCAAACAAACTTTGAGGGACCTAAAAAAAAAGTTTGCTAAAGTGGGAGTTCACTTAATTGGATGCAGTGGACATAGTGCTGTTTTGCTGGGCAAGTTTACAAAATTTTCTTCAGCTGTTTGTTTTAGTGGTGTTTCACCGTATGCCGCAAACAATCAATGAACTTTACCCGACGGCGCGTTCGCTTTGTGCAAAGTCTAACAACTGCCGTTGCGATGCCACGTGCAGGGCAAACGTTGGTGCACCGAATTTGTCGCCTCTTTTTCTCGACAGAGTACTCTCCGTGCTTTGCGAGACTACGAGAAAATAAAATAAGACGCTCTTTCCCTCGACAGGAGCAGCTGATGAGCTTCAGCGGAAAGCCCGCCTCCCTGGACGTGAGCCCCCTGGCGCAGAACGTCAGCGATCTGGAAGCACTGGCCTCGACAGTGCGCAAGGACGTGAGTCATTCTCTCGCCTTCATTACTATGGTGCCTGGAAAGCTTCTCCGTCCACCCACTCACATCATGAAGTGTTGTCGCCTCCCACGATCCACACAAAAGCGGAGGTAGATGCGGTAGGCTGCTCTCTGGCTTGACTCTCCACAAAAGCTTCGGCGGCCATTAGTTGCGATGCGTTCGCTCCTAGTTTTTTGCCAGACCTTGTGGTTCTCCTTTGGGCCACTGCCTTTGGGAGTACCACGTTCGCGGTGAGACGCTCTACCACGAAGCGAGTTCGTACTCGCATGGCATGCTGCTCTTTGAGCGCAATCAGACACCAGTCACGTTGGTGACGGTGATAAACTCTGTTTATTAACAACGGAACAAATAAGAAAACAGCGGCTATCAGCTGGTGAACGCCGTTGGTGTGGAAATCGCCCACGGCCGAACAGTCGTTCACAAAGATACAAAGGACGAGGTAAATGCTCACCGGTGCGCCGGGCGGTTCCCCGTTGTCGCCGCCGCCGAATCCCAGGAAGAAGAGAGAGAAAGATCTCGCTGTTCGCTGGTTTTAAGATAACGGCGGGGCGAAGTGGCTAATCAAGAAGCGACACGTCGATCTCCTTTCTGCGGGGGTTCATTACGAAAATCGCCCCCAGGGGGGAAAGGAGGAAGCCACTCAGTGATAAGCAGTGCCACCTCTCGCTAGGTCAGCGCGGCCGCCACGGCGCGCCAAAACGCTGACGCGACAGAATGTTCAGGGATCACGATCCCCACAACCTTCTTCGACAAGCTGTCAGGATCGCGACGTCCGACAGCACGACATGATGGCTTCTGCAACGCCAGTTGCCACTCGGAGCCGCTTTTGATGCATTGCCAGTATGGGATGCCAAGCTCACCGGTCAGAGACGCGTTTCGGGTGCACAACGCCTGGAACACGCCTTTGACTGGTGTGTTTACTGCACTACACTCTCTGTGTGTTGCAAGTGGCTGTGATGTGGCCTCAGATTAAGTCGCAGAAGACAGTCTGTCATGCTGTTGGATGTCGCGATTGTGACGGTTGGTGGTAGAAATGCCGGCAAAAAAGGCGATTGGAAACAACGGTCCCCGCCGTCCCAGTGTCCCATTTCGGGTCTGCTTCGGTTTCCATCGACCGTCTGGCTGCTAAACGAGCTGCAGCGGAACAGGCATCTGCAGCTCATGCCGCTGCTCCGCCACCGCTGGGATCACGCCGGCGCGACAGACGTGCAACGTGATCGGGTGGAAATGGAGGAATCGGCAAACCGAGACGTCGTAAATCACGCCACGCGTAACGGGTGCTGTACCTCTGGGGAGGGCGCGCAACCACCGACGATTTCTGCTCTTTTTCGTGCAGGCTTCGAGCCTGGCGCTCTCGGCTACGGCGAACAACCACACGGCGTACAAGACCAGGCTGGAAGCCGACCGGGAAGAGCTCAACGTGGAGAAGACGGTCCAGGAGATGCGAGGTACCGTTTTGTGCGTTTTAATTTAAAGCTCGGCTGCTTCCGTCGAAGTAGTTGACGACGTGTCACGACGGCCGACGAACGAGGAAGCCAGCGTGGACGAGGGTAGAAAGGAAAGCGGCTGGTGAGATTTAAGGGTCAGCCAGGTGTCTTTTTAATCTTGACAACCGCTTCCTTCTTTCCCTCGTTGGATTTGTGTCTTCCTCACTAGACCCACTGAGTAAGCTACGCTTGGCGTATCGGCACTGTATTCCCCCGATTGTCTTGCGGGCATTGCCATTTTGTTGCCTGTGCAGAGCGGGTGCAATGGGCGGCCATTACGATTTGAAAATGCGGCTTTTCGCACTTTAGATACGGCGTATTTCCTGAAATTTCAGATAATGTGTGTCGTAAGTAGGGCTCGATGTTTTCGATGACGACTGAAACATTGTGAAAAACTGGGCAATTGTGTTGCATGTTAAACGTGTGGCATCTATGCTCTCTTTTTGTGCATTAGTTTTTGTGAGCTGGCTTAATGCGTGGCATGTGCACTCGATTCCTGGCGCTGACCCGGGTTTTCAAAAGGTGTGACAGGGTGTCCAGTTGACATCTGCCAGACGCAGAGTGGACGCCCTGCAGGGCTTTTCTTCCAAATAGCAGCTCTACTTACGCCGACGTGTTGTGACATGCTGGAAAAACGCCCACTTAATAAATCTTAATGGTCTGGGTGCGATTTTCACTAAGTGCAAACGCACTTTTACTGCCGATGGCCTCTTCCCCCCGCTCAAAACGAATCAGTGTCAAGCCTTACAGCCACACTTTGATCCAGGTTTTACTTTTGGGCTTCACGAAATGCAGAGCTCCTAGCCAAAGAATGTTTTGCACTAAAAATTGGAGGAAACACCAAAGAAACCCTAATTGGAGCTGTCCTTGGATGAGAGAATTCCAGTAAGCTTTGGAGAAAGGAGAGCCTTATGTACAGCTTTATTCTGTACTGACCCGGGACAGCCCCCTGAACTGACCCTCATTGCAGCTGCTTTCGTCAAGAACTGTGCCATGCCAGTTTTCTCCTTTCATCTTCTCATCGGTACTAGGATGTTTTACAAGTATTTGCATCACGCGTTTGTTTCGTTGAGGAGCGAGGAATTCGACGTCCATGTCTTATTTTTTTAACTTAAGCACCCATAAGTGCAGATTTTTTGCCTGACATCCAAAATTTACTATGAAAAACACTGAATCCAAGAAGAAAAATAAACCCAGAAAAAACAGCCCCAAGCTAAGAAAAATAAACCCCCAAAAGTGTGAAGCATAGCTCTTCTAGCTGCTCCATTCTGCCCCGTCTCTTTAGACATTCTGAGCAGCCTGACAGCCTTCTCCGAGGGCCTGGGCTCGACTTCTACCGCCAACGTGGAGCCGCTGCTCGACGAAGCCACCCGCATCGTGGAGCTTCTCAATGCCACCGAGTTCTTGAGGCCCTTCGCCGAAGCAGAGGAAGAGCTGGCGCAGGCCGGAGAAGGTGGGTGTTTCGTTCACTTCTCCGCCGCCGCGATGGATCGATCCATTGCTTTGGTTCTAATGGCACTAAGGTTGCCTCCGTCGGCCAACCGGACACGCGCTTCGAAAACCGCGCCGGCGATTTAAGATGGCTCCAAATCTACTGCAAAGATGTGGCACCTGCTATTTTTGTCGTCTTAGCATGTGGTAGACAATTGGCCGAGTTAAAAATTGGCTGTCTCTTTAGTAACCCTGTGCGAAGAGTGAATCTTGAGTTGGAAGCCATTTCGAAGCGAATGGCGATTTTGACCGAATATTTTTAAATCGAATATCGAATAGTTTCTCGAAGTCTTCCACTACCGTGTGCCATGCGTTTAAAGAAAACTCCAGGTCAACTCATAAAGGTTGTTCCTAACCTTCCACTTGTCCGCATCTAAGCTCGGTTAATTTTATTATAGCTATGTTTATTAACTATGTCATGTAAACGACAAAATTGTCACAGCTATCCTAATCGAGGGGTGTTATAAGTCGGCTTGCTATATGCAAATATTATTTTTCCAAGTTCCAATTTGGCAACAAAAAAGGCTTCTTATGAGTTGTGAATGCGAAAGTATGAATGTCGTTCTTGCACACGTCCTCGTGAAGTTGCCGCGCCTCGCTGACACCGGCCGTGCCGCAGTGGCACAGAATCAGCTGCAGGAATCGGCCGGCATGCTCCGGCAGCCGTGCCGCCACCCGAGCGCGCCAGCCGATTCCATTTATTAGTGCGCTGGAGATGCGGGCAGGCAGCGCCATGGATTGGTGCTAATTGAAACTGACGCGCGGCGGCCTCATTTATTGGCCGTTTTGTGTGGCGTTTTATGCGGCTTCAAAGCTGGGATGCCTCAAATCGTGGCTTCACGAATTTATCTGCCATTTCGCACGGCTGATGACATCGGCTCGCTCCATGGGACAGTTAATGCTTCCGCACTAAAAAAAAAAAACGTTCAGCCTTTCCACTTTAGTAAAGAAGGAAGAGCAGCGGAGCTGTAGCTTCTGTTCTCGGTGATGTCTTTCCAGGCGAGCAATCTGCTCTTCTATTCCAAGGGAATCTGAGCCGTTCGACGCGGTGGAACTTTGGGTGATAGCGGCTTCGCAGCAATTGCGAAACCATTCACGCTGTTGCGCACATCGCCGCTCGTTCCACTCCCACTTTTCTTCCTCCGAAAAAAAGGTTGCTGCCATCTACGAGCGACGGCGGCAAGCAGTTGTGTGGTTGCCGCCATCGCTCATAGATGGCAGCAGGTGTCCAGAGTTCGGTGTCATCATTTCTTTGCTGGTGGACACGATCCTGGGGAAACTAGCCCTTAACAGGTCCGCTGTAAAAGCGAGAATATCGCAGTTCATCTCGAAGCAGATATTGAATAGTGTATTGTTAATTACAACTATTAGAATATTTGTTCAATAGCAGTCTTTGGCATTTACCTAAGGCGTTGTAGCATTTAGAAGCCCCTTTTTTGCTCCCGTCCGTCTAAAACCAGTCTGTCTTGGACGTTATCGCCATACTAAATGGGTTATATATGTAAACTGGCACTTGAACTGCCGGGCGGCCACTAAGAGCGACTGACTTTGTGTCACTACTGGGTCCAGCACTCTCCTTTTGGCAGCCGAGTCCCTCGCTGCTCTTTTTTCACCAAGCTGCACCTGCCGTTGTCGCTCCTGCAGGATTTTGGTGATATACAAAGGCTGCAAGCAAAAGCTTTCATATTGCTTTTGGTCTGCTTTTCTTCTGTTGAGCATTTACCGAGAGAAGTCCTCAGTCCAAGAACAGATGGGCGACTGATCGCTCTTCTCCATCGAGGCTACATCCACGGCGCCAACACGAAGAAAGGGTGACCTTAATAATGCTATCTAGTATTTAAAGAGCAAAATAAAATTGCAATAAAATTTCAGACAGACAATAGGCCAGTGTAAACTGTGATGTCACGTATGCTGCTGCAACCTAGCCTTAATATTATCATTGCAGATTTGTTGAAGTGATGGCTTTTAGGGGCAAAGCTCCTTAGGGTCTAGCCTTGTCCGTCCGGTGTCCGTGCTCACATCGATCTTGCTGGTGCTCGTGCTCGTGAGCTCACGTGCTCACATGCTCGTGCAAAAAAAAAAAAAAAAATGAAAAAAAACAAAAAAAAAAAAAAAGTTTGCGCAGTGGACAGGATTCGAACCTGTGCTGGGAGACCCCAATGGATTTCTAGTCCATTGCCTTAACCACTCGGCCACGACTGCGGCACGAGTAGGGGGCTCTGAGATCTGGTAGTAGCTTAAGAGCTGGGGGTGTCATGGATGAAAGGTTGCATGTAGCCGCTCAACGTCTATACAGGAAAGGGCGCTGCGGTCAAATGCGTATATAATTGCGTTAAACTTTGCATGCATTGGCTCAACGTTAATAGACGAGAAGGCGCTGCGGTCAAATGCTCAAATGCGTATATAACCACGTTCCATACTACACATTCTCTTTCTGACATGGATGAAAAGGAACGAAATGCTCGGCATGCTGCGGCTCAGCATCTGCGCAGACAAGCACCACCAGAGCTTTACCCCAATCAACATCATTCACCACGTGGAGATGCAGTCAATTTTTTAGAGCGCAGCTCTTAGGGGCCCGTTCCCGGCTTGAGCGGCGTCGCCGTCGGCGTTGGCGTCGCCGTCGCCGTCGGCGTCGGCGTAACCAAGGTCATCCCAAGGTCACGTGACCCCCAAGGTCACGTGACCCCTCCCAAGGTCATCTCAAGGTCATGTGACCCCACGTGACCCCCTGAAGGTCACGTGACCCCTCGAGGTCACGTGACCCCTTCCAAGGTCATCTCAAGGTCACGTGACCCCAAGATGACCCCACGTGACCCTTTGAAGGTCACGTGACCCCCAAGTCACGTGACCCCTCTGAGGTCACGTGACCCCCGAGGTCACGTGGTCGCCTCCCCAAGGTCACGTGACCCCCAAGGTCACGTGACCCCTTCCAAGGTCATCTCAAGGTCACGTGACCCCTCTGAGGTCACGTGACCCCCCCGAGGTCACGTGACCCCTCCAGGTCACGTGGGGGTCACCTTTGGGGTCACGTGGCCTTGAGGTCACCCCCAGGTCACGCCTCCCCGAGGTCACGTGACCCCCTCCCCGAAGTCACGTGACGCCCCCCCCGGAGCATATTAAAGAATGAGGGGAGGAGGAGGAGAAGGGGGAGGGGTCTACCCTTTCTCAGTACCCTTCACTCCTCCTCCTCAAGAGCTGCGCTCCAATTCGGCGTTACAGGGATTTGTAAACGGCTTTCACTTTTTTTTACCCTCCTTTTAGCTCTTCCTTTTGTTTTTATAGAAGGATGAGTGGCCTTGGCCCTGGCTAATCCTCCTTGTAATAAGTCGCCGAGTGCTCGACATCCGTGCCTCTCTACTCTCTGCTGAAGGTGCCCACTGCGTGCCGTTGCAGGCCTGGAGCGTGCGCAGAACTTCTCGCTGCCGGCGGTGCAGAACGACGCAACCCTGGAGGACCTGCGGCAGACGATGGCGGAGGAGCTGGAGGGGCGCCTCTACGAGCTGGCCAACCACACCCAGAGGGTCGAGGACATGGTGCGGGAGGTGGCCCACCTGCAGAACACGGCTAACAGCTCCCCGTTCAGGGTGAGTGCATCTGCCATCCTGAGCCAGAGGCTCTGCTCCATGCTAACGTGCAGTGCACCATATTAAAAATCACGTTGCTCCGAGAGCAGTTGCCCTCCACAGACCTCTCTTTCTCATGTTGGCATTGATCATGGTAACAAGGTCCCTTGTAGTCGGCGCCCATGGTTCCCAACCTTCCGCTTGTCCACTTCTAAGCTCGGTTAATTTTGATATAACTATATTTATTAACTGGGGCATGTAAATGACATATTTGTCGCAGCTATCCTAATTGAGGGGCTTAATAAACCAGCTTGCTGTATGCAAATGTTTTTTTTTTCTATATCATATTTGACAAAAAACACGGAAATCGTAAGTTACTCCACTGTGTGAAGGTGCATGACCTGCGAAGCTGTTGAGCACACAAAACAGACCCGCCCTAAGGAGCTGGAGGAAACTAGACATGCACAACAGGACCACCCCTCCGGGAGACAGGAAGGAAAGGAAACTAGGCAGGCAAGAGCTGAGAACGACGACTAAGAGGGGGGATTCAATGGCCAAGTGGGCTACAGTGCACACCCAGCTTGACGCGCGTAGAGCGAAAGCTCGCGCTGCAGAAGCCAGGGTTCAAGCCCCACCCCTGCCCGTTTCGATCTGGATGAGCATCGTACCGGTGTGTGGTCGTGTATCACTACTGCGTGATGCACGTTAAAGACCCAGGCTAGCAGTCGTACTGTACTGGCAAAATTGCTCATCTACAGTGTAAACTAGTGTCGCCCCCCCCCTGGCAGAGCGACCTTACGCTGTATAAACACTAAACATCCAATTTGGCTTTTTGACTTTGACGACAAATAGAGGGCAGTGCGAGCGTAAACATGGCCGACGCTGGTCGCACAGTGGCAAATCTTCGAGAAACTTTTATTATCTACCTGGGAGTCTACTGATCTTGAAAATGGTGCCTATTGATAACTTATCTACTCAATAGACCTATTGCTAAATTACCCAAGCATCGAGGAGAATGCAGGGAATGGTGTTCCACGCGTTGCATGTGCTGGCGTCTGTAGCAATAACTGTTCTAAAGTAAAAGCCTAAACAAATGGCATCTTGCATGCACGTTTGTCAACGCTGAGGCATTCTGCTACAGATCTAGTGAAGAAAAACGTTTGGTATTACATTATTTTTCAAACGATAGTTTTCTCAAACAAAGTCAGTGTGTTTCTGATAAAAACGACTATAATTTATTTGACAATTCATGTATGCAGATGAAGCTTTGCACTGCATTCTGCCTCACAACTGCCAGTATATACTGTAAATTTAATTCATAATAAGCAAAAGGTTCAAAAGTTAACTCTTTTGGGTAGTGTCCCCCTTAATGTAACCAGTAATATAATGTGATTTTTGTTTTGTTTTGTATTTTGCAATTTTTTCTAGCTGCATTGTTACTTGTTGTGTAGTGCACTTTCAAACCTTCTTATCTATTTATTTATTCAACATACCCCTAAGGCTCTCCAAGGGAGGATATTATGTAGGGTACAATATAGAATATATTGTATTCACGTCTAACGGGACATTTTGTTTGCTTCTATGTTCACCCACTGTGCAATGCCTCGAATCCCGGAGAAAAGCTCACCGGAGAAAAGCTCACCGGAGATAAGCTCACCGGAGATAAGCTCACCGGAGAAAAGCTCATCGCAAAACCGGCGGATGCGGAGAAAAGCTCACCGGCCATTGAGCGTATGCGAAGAAAAGCTCACCGATTTTTTTTCTTCTTTTTATATGGAGGCTATTGGATCATGCGTAACATATATCAATTTATTATCATTAAAATTTGTCAGCTTTGTAAAAAAGAAAATGTCCTTTTTTTGTATTATTTGTTAAGCTTATTAGGTATATTGCTTCCAAATTAATAATTGCGGGCGAGTGTTTTCTGTGGCTTACTCTGTAGGCAACGAAAGCCCAACTCAAATTTGTATGAACTTGAAAAACAGAAAAAAGTTCGAAAACTTAATAATGTCTGCCTAAAACCTAAAAATCAAAACTGTAAATGCCAAAGATCCGAAAGTGCATGCGGACAACAACGCGGTGCTTGAAATTCTCTTTGAAGCTTTTGTTAATTTTTGAAAATAGGACAAAACAGTCAGCAGGATATAAAAACTTTTTTCTTTCACGGAGAAGCACGTTTTCTAGCCGTTCGTGCTGGTGTTTCTACACGTTGCCTTTGTGTGATAGTGCCTTTCTACGGCGAGGCACCAGTGACCTTCAGAGCTGCACACTGGCACCGTTGTTACTCGTGACCTATATAAGAAGTAGTCTTCTTTAAGGTGGCGAATAGGGCGAGTTGGTAAACGTTATACATGATAAAAACCGCTCAAACGACGACGACGGAGTGAAGACAACAAACACGACAGGACGAATCTGTTCTCGCAACTAAAGTTTTGTTAGTGAATTTAACAAAAAAAAAAACAAAAAAAAACAGCGTAGCCGATACTGATACATCAACAAACACCTACTTACCTATTAGGCACTACACAATATTTGAAACTGAAACGGTTCACCACACCGCTATTCATATTAGCTCACAAAGAACAAACATCTTTATTTGACAGAGCTACCGATGGCACCTTGCCAGTTGCCAATAAATTGTCTTTTTCACCGGTGTACGATGTTATGATTTTGTACTATGCGAATTATGTTAAATTACAACGTTTGATGCAGAATCCGCTAAGTTAAAGAAAAAATTGGTGAGCTTTTTTCCGCATCCGCTCAACAGCCGCGGTGAGCTTTTCTCCGCATCTGCCGGTTTTGCGGTGAGCTTTTCTCCGGTGAGCTTATCTCCGGTGAGCTTTTCTCCGGTGAGCTTTTCTCCGGTGAGCTTTTCTCCGCCGCCCCAATGCCTCACCTCTCTCTCGGATTCAGTCATTCTATAACGCCATTGCTCCACCCCACCTTGATATATCTGCAGCTGTTCAATGTACCGTCGCCATTTGGATAATCTTACATTTGTCTCTTAACTTTATGTGTGTTTAGGATTTTTTGTTTGTTTGCTGGTTTTGCTGTTTGTGTTGGTGCACCAAGGGGAAGACTGATCTGGTTGTTTTTGGGCACCCAAAATAGAGAATATTATTATTATTATAAAGTAACAAATATCTAAACATAACGGCAAAACAAGAAAAATGTACAAAAACAAGTTAAAAGGATTAGTAAGATAGGTAAGACAAGTGAAACACAATTGAGATAAATTGTATGTTATTGTCACTCTACAATGAGTTCATGGAATTTTGTTACCTCGTCTTTGGTGGCTCTGTGTGCTGGCGGATTATTCCAATTGAATATTCTTTGTGGCTTGGTTCAGGGGATCATTGCCCAAAGCGAGGAGCTCAAGTTGCAGTCCGAGGCACTTCAGAAGGAGGCCAGGGAACTCCTTCGGGCCTGCCAGGACTACTACCCGGACGCAGAAAACGCCTATGAGGTGAGCACCCATGCTACCTTACTGAAAGCGATGGCCTTTCACAAGGAGTGTTGGGAAATGCGCTCAGAATCTTACATAATATGCTTGCTAGTGGAGTAAACTTAAATCTTTCTTACTACAGGAAAAGAGGCTGTTATGGGGTGATCTCAAGGAAAAATTGTTTAGCTGCAAATATCCCTACTAGGTATAATTCTGTACAAAGCATACCAAAATGTAGCTAAAGGAATTCTCTTTTCAAAAACGAAAATGTCATTAAGATATTATGTAGCACAAAAAATGTAATGTCAAATTTTGTGTAACCAATGCAGAAGTTATTTTAATTTGATGTACCTTGCAAAGTATTAGGAGTAAAAAAAATTAAAACATATATTTTGTAGCTTACTTTTCTAGAAACAACTCCTGCGAATTTGAACAGTTTCCATGCAAAACCTCTTGTTTTGTGACGACCGTACCATTCCTTAAAGCCCCACCCAACTCGTTCCATGCTACTCCGTAGCCTGATGCCGAGGTCAGGACCGGGCCGCTTTTTCAGAGAAAACTCCACTCGTTTTCCTGCTGACAGCATAAAACCAATTGTACGTAAGGTTGACGCCCTGCAGGTGAAAAATAAAGCGTTTCGAACACACCCAGTGTGTCCACAGAAGCTCACGGAGGCAAGAAATGCCTTCAGCGAGCTAACACGAAACGTACCGACAGGCACCTGTGGATAATTCCTGCTGGTTCGACCCACTGCCACAATTGAAACTAAGATCCAATGAAAGTCATCTTCTGACTCACTGCTGCCACTTTTATCCAGAAAACTAATTGCATATGCACCGGAATCACGAGACAGGTGATGTTGCTGAGGGGCGTCGGCGTGCAGCGAAGACGCTGTGCCTGTACGATCACTCACGATCTTGGAACTTTAAAGTCACGCAAAATAACGCCCCCTCGCAGAAGAGAAAAAAAAAAATGAAACGGAAACTTAAAGCAGAGTTCCTTCTTAATATCCCAGATGGCATTGCATGTCTCAAAATGGCGCTGAACATCACCGCGAAGCGACGAGGTGCATTCAGTGTCACTACTGCCCCTGCCAGAATAGTGTGCCCGTCGGTTTCGTGAAGTATAATGCGGGCGAATATGGAATGCACCTTTGACGATGCAACGCACCTCCAGATTATGACCGCCCCGGCCCGTTTTGCCCCCAGGGCCTGCGTGAGAACTCTGCCCGTCTGCGAGACATGGTGGACCAACTGCAGACGTTCCTGGAGAAGCTGAGCCCTGCGACGGAGAAGGCCGTGCCCTACGTGCGGGAGGCGGAGATCCACTCGCACAAGCTCCAGCAGCAGGCCAGGGAGTGCCAGACGTGAGTCCCTTGCGTCGGGAGGGCACGGACAAAGGCGGGAGCACGGTGTAGGAAGGCTCTTTAGGTGTGGAGACTCCTCTCCTCGCCCCGTCGGAACGGCGAACACATCATCTCCCCTCCTTTCCTATGTTTTCTCCGCCTGCCCCTAGAGGGCGCCAAAACGTTCAGGCCATCCGGTCGCCGGCCCTCTGCCGAAACGTGGGCCAAGTCACCCATTGCTTCCGCCCCCTCTAATTGTTTCCAAATTTTTTTTTTTTTTTGCAATGGTGAAAAGAGCATAAAAGAAATGTAAAAAACCAAAGATCCGAACTTGGAAATGGCCAAACATTTGAATGAACACGCCGACTGCTCTCCAGCCTGGGGAAACGTGAACATTTTAGAAAGGGAAAACAATGACATGAAAATATTAGTAAAAGAGACGATCAGGATAAAGACGTCTGCCGAATGCATCAGTCACATGCTCGGTTGTTGTTCTTCTCCGAATTGAGGGCGACTAGTATGGGATTGTCTTGCATGCGGTAGACGCAGACACAACAGACTGCCCATCTGTTCAGGGTCGGATTCTGTCTGGCGTTCTCGTGGAATGCAGACACCTCCGTGGAAGGCAGACGCTTCTCTGGTTTCAGTCGAACGTGCAAAAGGGTTCGGATCGCATGAGAATGCAACAGGACTTCAAAGGAAAAAACCGAGATGCAAAGAAGCAGTCTCGAGAGAAGAAGGAAGAGTCCCGACTGTGCGACTCGTAATGTGGAAAAGAACTCCAAAAGCAACTATAGAGTATGTCATACATTAAGCAATGTTTGAACAGCATCTCTTTTTACAGCAATTTTTTTTTATTTTTTTTTAAGTTTGTGATTGTATTATTATTATACTTATATCAGAAGTGCCATTAATACAATCGGTTTGTTTTCCTTGACGAGTGTGGTGACTATAAACTTTTGTTGCAATCTGCTACATGCCAACGTAAGTGTACTAACAAAGTAAACCTTTCAAAGAAAGCTGCTTTCATTAAACTGCGTGCAAAATGTGTAACTTCGTGCCAGTTCGGTCAGCAGTTCAATTTAGCAGGACTCAAAGGCTGCCTTAATATGTAAAAGAATAATCACGTTAGCTGCCCCGCATGTTGAAAAAAAATTTTTTTTTTATTAGTCCAGTTGAATTAACAGTAATTTGCGAACCCAATATATATATTTTTTTAGAAAAGTCACGCGAACGGAGCTTAAAACAATTCAGTTTATTATCCGCTAACAAGGTTTGTGTTAAACATTCTTTATTTTTGTGCATTCTTTTTTTTTTCTTTCGGTCGCACTCAAGTTATCGTTTACCTGCGATGCATTCAGAGTTTATTCATTTTACAAACGCTTACCGACGTTAATGTAAGCTAGGCTAGAAATTATCTACAGCAGAGGGATATTTCTTTCTCACTCGTAGACCCCCGCGTCAGCTGGTATTAGGGAGTTACTCTTGTTTGTCCGCCTGCCATTTTTCGGGTTATGTAAACTTCAGTGTGCTGAGAGAGATGATAGTGGCCCCACCTACATACCACATCGTACGCGAACCCGTAGCCACCGAAAGCAAGCTGTACGCCGAGCAGGCAGCTAGCACAAGTAGCCCGGTACGCTGCCGGCCTGAAACTTACGGCGTCATCTAGGGGTGGCTCCGTGAAGTGAAGCGCGCAGGGTGTCATTATCTGGTCGCAGCGGAGAGCGGAGTCTCTACACCTAAAGAGCCTTCTTACACCGGGGGCGGGAGCTAGAGTGTTGCGACAGCAGTGAATGACCACTTCGTTACAGTGATACATTCAAACCCGTATATATAGAATTCAAAGGGAAGTGTAAAATATTTTGATATAATGACAATTGACCCGTAAGTGATGACGTCACAACATGGCGTCTGGGTCCAAACAAATCGTTGCTAGGGACGTTGCTATGGACCAATGCATGGAGACTCCAGATGAGGCTAAATGTTTGCTTACGAGTAAGTAAATAATTTTTTGTAAGCAACCTAACTTTTTGATATCTAATTATTAAGATGTTATTGTCGTCTCAGTGTCGTATTCCGACGATGAAAGCCATTTTGGGAGTATTACACTTCGCTTTGCTTTGGTAGCAGACGACACGGTTGCAGCGGGCGTCTATTGCGGCAAAAACAAGTGCATCGCTATGGCAGTAGAGGCCTCCGCATTGTGCGTTTTTTTCTGTGAAGAACCGAGTTTAGTTGAAAGGGGTGAAAATGCCGTTAAGTCCAACCATGTCATGCAAATCAGTTACGACGACGATCTTAAGTGCTTTACCGGCGTAGTGCAGGCCAGCATGAAAAACAGATCGTACGCCGTCGAGGTAAGTCGTTTATTATTATTATTATTAAGGTTGTCAGGTTATTAAAGAATCGCATGTCTATCGCAATTTCGCACTAGTTTGCTTTTTTTTTTCTTTTTTTGTATACATCAAATTTTGTGGATGTGATCTTTTGTTGAAGATCTCCATCGAACCCGCGATGCGAGTACAACCTGTAAAATGCATCGTAATTTTAATAACTGTAGACTAGTGGGCCCCTTTTTAGTGTTGTTAATTTCATTGTAGAAGGCTGATTTTTTAATTGTGCGCAATTAAAAAGACCCCTCTTGTAATCATTGATTTACGTTGAAACCGCGAAAATATATAGTTCAATGTAAAATACATTGTAGTTATAAGAACTTTAGACAACTTAGAAGACCCCTCTTAATTGTTTTCATCTATCGAATTGAGAAAATAACATATAAATACATTTTAAAAAATTAATTGGGATATAGCTATATGTCGCTGTCAAGCTTCAAAGAAGCATGCTCGTGAAGCTGAGTAAGATTTTGCAAACAGGAAATTCTAATGACAGGTACATAGAGCTGAACTAGGGAATTTTATAAAAAAATCTTTTTCTTCAGGTTGAAATGACGAACCCCAAGACTGTGGCCAGGGCCACCTGCAACTGCCCTCGAGGTTCCCTTCGATGCCATCACATGGCAGCTCTCCTCCTCTTTGCTCATAAAAATATTTCCTGCACAGATCGAGCTTGCACATGGACCATGAAGACGACTTCAAAGGACAGACAGGTTGGACCAGTCGAGACTCTGATTCCGAGTCCATGTACTTCCGCTTCACTGAATCGGCCCGTTAGTGAGGAGGACAAAGACTGGATTAGGAGTCGCCTGGATGCTCTTGGGGCCACAGTTGGCTACACATGGCTGTTGTCCAGAGAGCCAGACATGCCCATTCATGTCACTATTGAGGACCTAATATTTAGTGATGAATACACCCAGGCAGCCGACCGAACCGCCTATCTGGTTGAGAAAGCCGCAAAGTCACGTGAAGAGATCCAGCAGCTGGCAGAGTCTACAGCTGGACAACGCACAAATCCGCTGTGGCAAGTGGAGAGAAAGCTACGCCTGACCGCGAGTAACTTTGGAAAAGTCCTCAAGGCGTGTGAGAACGACAGCTTTCCTCCTTCACTCTTTCGTCACCTACTTGGCGAATACTCACTGGAAGGTGTAAAAGCTGTCCAATGGGGCATCATCCATGAACCAGATGCTATCAAGGCATTTAGCGAAGCCACCAGCCTGACGCCAACGCCAACAGGGCTCTGGCTGCACGAGTCGGGCCTGTTAGGTGCATCACCAGATGGTCTTGTTGGAGACGAGGCTGTTCTTGAAGTAAAATGCCCATGGAAATTTCGTGAGGGGTCGTTGCTATGCCACTTGAAGGACGCCAAGGACTACAGCCTACGTTATGATGGCAGCAGCGTGCTTGTGAACAAAGGCCATGACCACTACCACCAACTCCAAGCTCAGATGTATTTTGCGAAGCGAACTAAGGGGTACCTCACGATCTGGAACCCAAAAGGCAGTATCACTGTTGGCATTAAGAAGGATGCAGAGTGGGCAGCTAATCTCGACATTCTACTGCACTTTTATCATGACACTTTTATTCCACACTTATTCACGTACTAGCAATATGTAGATCATGATTAAAGTAATCATGATTCTTGTCTCACGGTTACTACAGTCATGATAGCTGACCAGCTTGCGTGTACTTTAATCAGTGTTGGGAAGTACTTTAAGTACATTGTACTTAAAAGTACTTTTTCAAGTAGGTTTAGGTAACTTGTACTTTACTTGAAGTACATTCTCTGAGCATGTAGTACTTTACTTAAAGTACATTGTATTTATAGTACTTTACTTCAAGTACTGGCCAGTGTACTTACTACTTTACTTAAAGTACATTGTATTTATAGTACTTTACTTCAAGTACATTGCAGCCAGTGTACTTACTACTTTACTTGAAGTACATCACGTCTCATTTACTTTGTACTTTACTTGAAATACTTTTTAGGTGTACTTTACCCAACACTGACTTTCATGCTCATCTTACGTATGTCACTGAACTCGAACACAAAGGCATTTACAGGTGCTGCTCTTCATCATCACACATTTGGTCATTTGTTTACTACTTCTCATGTTAGGAGCATCTTTTTGCCACGAATTGATACAAAACATGTTTACTAGTATTGCTACAGAGGGGAACTATGCACATGCTAGTGTATTTTTAGCTCCACATTCTCAACTCAGGCAGTCTAAACATGACATTGCATTTTCTCGCATTATTCTCGCATTTAACCACAAATATAAAAGCCATTGTTCATTTGTTTATGCCTACTATGTCATGCTCTGTACAGTTTGTTGTCTATAATTATTCATGCAAAATAAAAGAAACTGAAAGTGATCCAGTTCAATGTAACGTATCCTGTCTTTTCTACACGAGAGACATGGCTGCATGCATTTCGCACTACTACACATCAAGAGACATCATTCAATGAGTGAAGACGAAGGAAGACATGACCAGCCCAGCTGTTAATCATTACTGCAGCCACATATATTTAGTTTTTGTCTGAAGCATATGACTTCAGTATTTTTTTATACTAGCTGTGTCTTTCAAACAGTTACATCTCTGACCTGTCAAGCTTCCATTGTGAACTATTTAGTGTTCCTCAATAATCTCGCTCTGTATTTTATACTTTGTTTTTTTTTCTACAGAGCTCTCTCCATCAGTGAGCTGAATGCAATGTTAAATAGGTAGGGACTGGAGCAAGCAGTACTCACTGGCACATATTTATAGGAATTCATTTGGAAATATTTATTTACATATACCTCACAGATACAGGGGCTTCCAGTTCCACACTTAAATTCTCAAATATCTTTTAAAATAGCAGAAACCCCCAAGCAACCTTCGCTGAGAACAGAGAATTGAGCATTATTATAATTAAGAGACTTCTAAATCTTGTTAGCCACTATGTAAGCTAGTGAGGAAGCTTATAATCAAAGGCTTAAATGCATGGCTCAGTCATGTCTAAACTGCCTATACACCTTTCTTAGGGTAAAGACAGCCAAGAAACTTTTTTTTGGTCAAAAAATCCTTATGCATTCAGTATTTGAGTAAGGAAATTAGGGAAAGTATGGATGGCAACTGAAATTATACCAAGTTATCCGTGTTTCATTTATTGTAGAACATCCATGGCCTCTCGACTATTGTGTTTGAAATATAGTTTAATAATCAAAAGTTCATCCAAGAAAAGAAGTGCACATAACAACATGCAATGCAACATGCCATGCGAGTTCGGTTGGTGTCCTGAATTACTTTCCTTGTTTCTTAATAACGCAAACCTCTAAAGAGAAACACCTGCCTTTAGTAGGAATACAAGGGTGACTTCCACTTGTGATGACACACACATTTTTCACCAGTACGAGAATTGAACACATAACACAGGGGCCAAACTGGTGAAATGCTGCTGCACCCACAATATATTTACAAGCTGGGTTGCTAAAAAGGCATTTTTCGACATATAGAACAATAGGTGCATGAAAAACGTAAGCTAAGGTGAGGTTTCTGTGCGTTTGGCCTAGAACAGTCTAAACTCGTAATTCAGACCTTGATGATGAACAACATTTTGGTACATTGTAAAAAGAGTGGGCACTATGCAGATCCAAGGTTGAATCACCGGCAGGAAGAAAAACCAGCCAAACCTGGCAAATAAGTATACAAATGTCTGCTTCAACCAGATTACTTGTAATGAGTTTATAGTGGATGTGCACGCTTTACCTGGGAGTAGCTTACCAGTTAGGGGTGCAAAAATCTGCATAATTTTCTAATAAGGGGTTAAATATCGCCCTATTCGATTCAGCGTCTTAAGCATCTGAATCAAATGTTTTCTAAAGTTTCAAATATTTTTCTAATAATTTTCGAAGATTCAGTACCACTCTAAATGATTCATGCCACAAATTTTTCTTCACAGGCCTTTGCCACACACCTATACAGGATGATCGCGAGCAGTACCGGTCAATGTTCGTATGGGGTCATTCTACCTGTCTTCTACTGCGCGTATACTGTTAACTGCACACTTTTTCATGAAATTAATCTTGCATGCTTTGAATTATAAATCTTCAACTACTTCTATCCCAATGTGGCTTGTGGAAAGACGTGTAATTACAAGTTGTATAATTTTTTTCTTGCAATTGTTTCTGCTATCTGAGTTGTGAGCTCACATTCCGCATCTTGACCTTGTTCGTTTCTTCTGTTTTGGGTATGTACTTTGTATTGACTGACTCCGAGTGGCCTCTTGATGTGATTTATATGCTTCTTTTGCACTTTACATTCTGCCAAAATCCTGCTGTGGCAAGAAAACTCGTACAAACTGTTATAGTTTCTGCCTCTATCTAATCACACCTTTTAATTCTAGTAATTTGTATATAGCATTTTGTTCTTTTAATGCTTTCTAAAAAAGCATAATAATTTATAGTCTGCACCCAACTCTTCGGTAACTAATAGAAAATTATTCGATTCGCGCTCGATTTGATTTGGAAAATCATTATTCACACCCCTTTTACAAAAGCTACTTCCAGGCTAGTTCTTCGGCCTGTAAAACTGTTCGACTTCCTTCAGAAGTGGATTTTGGAAATTTGTTAGAGCAGCACAGACTTCCCAGACTTTTGAGGCGATGGGAAAAAATGTAACTGGAATGTATTCCAGTATCGTGTAGCCCTTAATGCGACCGATCGCCCTCTCAACGTGCACATGGGCCCTGGCAATTGATTTCGTCAGCAGGACCTGTTGTGGTGTGAATTGTGGCATTGAGAGGAACGGTGGTATGTTAAGGCTCACTCCAGGAGGGAGGAGGTCTCTGATCAGGAAGCCCTTGTCTGCGAGGACAAGGTCCCCTGGCACCAGTTGTTTTAGCACGCCACAGTCCTTCACGATATCTTTGTCCGTGTTGGATCCTGGGTAGAGTTTGCTGACATACGTCACAACCCCATTTGGCGCCACACCAACCAGGCCTTTCAGAGTAGTGCTGCGCTTGTAGGGGCTGTACAAGATGTTCTGGAGTTTCATCTCCTGTTGCATTGTAGAAAAAAATGAAAACAAAGTTATTGAGGATTTTTGAAAGACAAATGAGCAGATTAGCTCAGACTGTCCTGAAACACAATAGCACTCAAATTATATCTCTTGAAGTGGCACGAGTGGGTCATGTATACTTAACACCCTCCGCCACAAAGTGGGTAAGTAATTATACATTTTAAGGTAGATTATCTTACATTTATAAAATATAAAATTTCACTCAGTGCTCTTCGGAAAACCTGGGCTAAGAGGAAACACATAGGTTTGAGAACTTATATACCAGCTTCTTAAGAGGGAAGTGCGCTTGACTGCAGCAAAGACGTGTGTGATTTTTGTTATGTTTTGATGGAGATCTACCATGATCAAGAAAACCAGCAGATCGAGGCTCAGCCGAACTGCTGCTTTCCCACGGTGCTTCCGCGTGCATTGGGAGAAGCAGAAGTTCCAGGAGTTCATGTAGATATTTATGCACATGTTTTATAAAAGTTTTGAGTTTTTATATGGCATCAATTATTTACTTAGCTATTTCAAACTTGTCTCTCACAAGATTATCATTAATCATCGCACTTTGACGTTCTTCACAAGTTACATCACCACTTGGGCAAAGACAGCATCTGCTTTCATGCAGTCCTGTATGTGTTGGCAACATTTCTTGCCAGCTACATATAGGCTGTTACAAATTTGGGCTGAGGCACCCAATATTACAAGCACTCAAAACACATGTGTTGCGAAACAATTGCTAGAAATATAGGTCAGGCAGGAGAATGTGATATGTGTGAAACATTGAACGGTATGTGAGCTGTGTACGTTCAGGTCCTGTAGCAGCTGCAATTCTTTCTTGTGTTTTTTTTTTTTCTGACATTTTATATTTGACATTGTATTACTTCTGTAGTTTATAAAGTTAATGATTGCCAAAAAACAAATCGGAGGCAGCACCCTGAGGCCCGTGACCTAAAAATTCACTGCTAGGAAGATAGAGCAGAATGCTCTTCGATACTAAGGCAATGAAATGTATTTGTGTGATATGGCAGAATATAATACATATTTCCTTCATATGGCTAAGCTGAAAACTTCAGTTGTATTTAATACCTTTGGGACAGCAGCTTCAACCTCTGTGCAGTCGAGGATGATTCTGCAGTTGGTGAAGCTGGCAAAACATGACGGGAGACAGGCCTTGTTCACCGAAGGAATCTGGCCCATCAGCCCATCGCAAAGCACCTTGTGTAATATGTTGACCCATGTGAGCACCACATTTGAGACTGTGGCAGTGCTGCAGCTGAATCGAACAGCAAGGTCAAGGTGGGTGGTGTTCGAGCGCAGCTTGACGAGAGTCATGAATAGCTGGTCAGCCAGCTCAATGGACTGCACCTGCCATCCCGCATGGTAGCTTATGGTGAACCTCTGGCACAGCTCTAGCAAGAGATAAAACATATCTTTGTGTGGCAGCCCCGTGTAGAGAACGACCAGGTTGGTTTTCTCCTCAATTGAACTGAAGGTGAACCGTCTTTGGTGTTCTTTCCCGGAAGCCTCTTCCTCCTGTAATATAATTTAGTGAACCTAATATATATGATATATCATAGCAAAATATGTACTCAAATTACAGTATGTACGACTTGTAACCCCCCTCTGACCTGAATGGAACGAAAAATGTGTGCTATAACTGATGCTGTCAAATTGTAAGCTCGCTTCTCAGTTTATGTATACTTTAAATGCAGAGTTGCATGCTATAATAATATTCTGTGAATGTAGTAGTGCTGACAGTAAATTATGATCGCTGATGATTAGTTTAGTCTATTTTGTGCCCAATATACATGGGTTTCCCTTAAAATCTGCGGAGGAACCTTGACAAGTCATAATCAGCATACAAACCGGAGAAAAGAAAATATTTATCTTAATTTGGCAACTGACTCAAGTTTGAAGTGCATCAAAAGTTAAGATCAGAGCAAACCCTTCTTTGAAGTTTTTCCCAGTTAAGTCTCTTATTTCTAGTTCTCAATCATTGTTCGCTATACTATATAATCTGCCGTGTTGAAGCAGCTGGTGATATTTGAAGTAATACTAGTAAGATATATTGTGCAAAGGGGGCTGAATCAATCAACCCCACCCCTGTCACCCCCCCCTCCACCCCCTCCCCGCACAACTCCTGATGCCACTGTCTTGGATGTGAAAATATGTGCATGTAGGCATGCTAACTTAAACCTTCAGATGAAAAATCATGGTTATGATTCATATGTTAAAGAGGCATGTTTGATGTGACATCTTTTCAATTAAAGAACATATTAAAAGCACACATACTCTCTGCAGGAAGTAATTCTCCGCTTCTAGTACAGCTCTTGACGTGGTAGGTTTGTGTGCCTGCTGTGGTGTGTGGGGTTCTGTTCGCTTCCTGCAAATCACAATGTGTGCAAAGCATACACAAAGGTTATATGCTACATCAAACAATATTTGTTAAATATAAAGAGATAGAAAAAATTAATTGTGTGTTATTAACCTTATAATGAAATATAACGCATATTCAGGTCCTCACCTCCGTCCACATTGGGTTTCTGGAAATTGGAAACGAGTTTCCTTATTCCAAGGGAAAATGGTTGGCATTTTGCTTTTTTTTCCATCCTTGAAATGGCAACTGCAAATGCGTGCTTGTTGCCCCGGCTCGCTGTCTGCTCTCCTAAAAAAATAATAATAGTCAATCAACGTTTTATTGTACCCATGAACAACCTTGCAGTTGTTCCTCAATAAAATAATAATAATAATATATAGTTAAATAAAACACTCAATTAAAAGTATATATAAACAAAGGTGAACAAGGAGAACGCTATCCACCAGTCTTGTACTAAATATGCTAAATTCAAGAGCTAGTCCGTAAAGGGGAACATATGAAGAGCACAATGAAAAAACAACAGCAAAGGTAGATATATAAGCATAAACAAAATAACCGGATAGCGCATGGACACAGACATACTTCTTAACGCTGCTTTACCATAGCAATGTAAGACTACTGCAGGTTTCAGCTGGATTTTACTCTCACTACTACTTGCATGCAACTACTTTATCAATGTTATAGTAATAATATATAAATATAGCGCCATATTTTAAGACATTATGACCGAACAGAATACGGGTTTTACGTGCTCTCGGTTGGTTCGGTCCTTTTTTTTTACACCGAGGCGACTGTCCGCCAGTGCTACATGTACTCACCTTATGTTTTTTATCCAGTACTTTCGCGTTTTGGGGTCTTGCGGAAATCTAAAGAAACTACAAGAATCTTTCTCCACGCGATGGTTACAACCAGGTACGAAGCACCCTCCCATAGCGCGAGTCCTCAAACAATATTTGGGAAGTCAACCGATCGCCTGAAGTGCTTTTCTCACGGGTGCAAATGTGATCTTTGAGCAGACGATCATCTCGATCGACGCCAGGACTTTCGAAAAACCATATTTTGCATCTTATCCCACTATGAATTCTTGTAAGTGTCTGAAACTCATTATATTTCAAACAAATGCAATATCAGAATATCGTCTTTATTCACGCGATTCAAACGACTGCGCCGGCTTCGCCGGCCGGCGTGTGGCAGACGGCATACTTCTTGCATTCGTCGTCTGCTGCAGGCATCTTAAGGGGAGACACTGCCCAGAAAAAAAAATTTCTGCAAAAAGAGTTGATTTTGAAAAATTACATTTTTACATCCACCAACATCTAGAGAGTATTCCCAAAAAGTTTCATTAATTTTCACTATATAGTTAATTTTTTATAAATTATTTTCTGTCCACCAAAGCTATAGAAAAGGTAGGGTTTGGAGCACTTTGAACACATTTTTCTCCGTTCCACTTTTTGGTATAAATTCCATTTTAGTCAATCTATCGTTTGATAATGGCAAAACAGGGGAAGCTCATTCTTCCCTTTTCCTGACTGAAATTTAATAAGGAGTGCGGCTATGGAACTTTTTCGTCACTTTACGGATGTCTTTTGTAAAAAATGTTGACATTTTGTCGAAGGCACAGAAGACCAAAACGTTGACCAATTTTTCAGAAGAGAAAATTTATAGAAATAAATTACTTTTTAGAAAAAAATGTTCCATAGCCGCATCCTCTATGCATTCTGCTACATATCTAGCAAATAAAAATTTTTAATATCGCAACAGTTTTCTGACGATAGATTAACTAAACAACGTAGGCGTGTTGCTGATAGAAGCTACCCTTATTTCCTTCTCACTTAACCGACAGACCTGAAATTTTGTTATACACCCTCTAGCATGACCACCAGCCTACCCTGTAAATTTCATTAATTATAAGACAAGGGTTCAAAAGTTGACCCCCCTAGGGGGTGTGCCCCCTTAAGGACCGGAAGTTGCAGTCGTAAATATTTCAGAAAGTAGCGATTACCGGCACACTTCTGTCGAAACATATATGACATTCAAGCTTTGTATATATGTGATTTTTAGAAGTTTGAATCCTACTCCTGATTTTTGAACGCTCAAGTTTTCGCAGCGAAACCGAGCCACATGTATTTGTCCATAACAACGACCCTAGCAACGATTTGTTTGGACCCATGACGTCACACTTACGGAGTCAATTTGATATACGAAGACACATTAACTTAAGCTCCAGTTTCCGTGCATCTCTACTAATGCTGGCAAAAATATAGGAAGATACAATGTGTGATAGCAGTATACCGTAAAATTCCGAGAGATGCCCCACCCCCGAAAAATAGCCCTCCCCCTACTTTTGGCTTGATTTCCTATGTTTTATTAAACACCGTGAGATAGCCCAGTCTAGTACAAGTAGTGTTGGGATCAATGATGGCCTCAGCATAAATGCGGCTGGTTAGCTTTGGCGAGGTATAAGCGAACGTTGCTGACTGGGAAGTACAGTCATTTTTGCTTTGTTGTCCCTCCCACCATAAGAAAGCTTGGAAGGGACACAACCTAAATATAGCAATTTTTTCAAACTTTTCTCGATCGTACTCCGAAAGTTGGCCCACTCCTATATTTTCACCCGCTCTCAATGTTAGGTGGGCTATCTCGGAATTTACGGTAGTTATCTCATTTTATTTTCGGCATGTCCTAACCCCTTAAAGAAATGTGTTTAGAAGACATTTTTTAATAAAAAATGAGAAACATTATATTTGGGTTTTATTAACTTCAGATGCACGGTTTCAGCAAGTTTCATTTATAATCATGTAGGATTTATTTCCCCAAAAGTTTTTACCATGCCAGTGGCTTGCTGAGCAAGCAGGCCATGAAGTTTTACTTTTTCTAGCTGGGACTACCCTGTGCATGCTCAACAGAGCTAAAACATGTTAACCCTCGTTAGAAGTGGCATTTATTCTAGTCTTCACCTCGGGAAGCTTTCCACAATCGAAGAGTGTCAGCGTCCGAGGAAAACTGATACATCCAAACAGGAAAAATGTGGCAAACATGATTTTAGCGAGCTAATTGGTTGTCATCCAAAACAAGGCTTTCAGTTTACCCCGTCCAGTGACACTGTATTGCGTCATCTTCATCCGCGAGTTTTTGACAGCACCATTCACTTCAGGCCACTAAGTGTGCAACCTGCTTAGAACCTTTAATGCGAGCAACACAAATATTGGAGAATTTCTGTTCTGGTTGTAGTTGGCCAATTCATGGGCAGACATATCTGAATTGTATTTGGCCGAGGGTGTTTTGCTGTTATTACCAGACGTTCTGGTGGACGTCCAAATGCTTTTATGCGTGGCTCCGTGTGGGAGACGACGAGGGTACCTACTGAACAAGTACTGCTTTGCAGAATCCTGAACTCCACGCAGCAGACGTCTTCTTCGGCCCTGGCCTACGACGAGATTGCCAAGATCATTGACGAGGCTCAGAACATCTCGGAGGCGGCCCTTGCTACTTCGAACGAAGCCCACGACAATGTATGTTCTATTTGAATGTACTTGCATGTGCTCCTTCTCCAGAGCGCACTCCTTGTAGAACAGCTGAGACCTTTATTCTTTTACTTTCGTGTTCCAGAGGTAGGACTTTTTATGAGGCTTAACTTTGTGTAGTTCAGTATATGTGCGCTGTACTGTTCAACTATGAAAGCTATAAAATATATACCGTAATATCCCGAGTCAACGCCCCCCCCCCCCCCCCCCCCCCCCCCCACCGCCTGAAATTCTCAAAAATTGTGGGGTGGGCCATGACTCGGGTACCGAGCTCGAAAAGTTTCACAAAAGTTTAAAAATGTGATTTTTTTTGGTCTGTGTATAGCGAAGCTAGACAGGAGATTAACTGAACTCAAATCTCGGGTTGGTATCTTACTTGCGACTCATTTTACTGTCGAGCAAAATCCACTGCTTCACGGGTAGCTCGTTTCCGCCTCCTCCGAGCAAGCGCAATTCGAAGCCACGACCGCTGCAGCCTTCGGTCCAACGTGAACGGAAAAAAAAAAAAAGAAGAGAATCATTGAAAAAAAGAAAAAGAAAAGAAAAATCACAAGAAGCCATTGTGACCGAGCAAAGGTGACGAAAGCTGAAAGGAAAGCGGGTCCCGCTTCCTTTTCGACTTCGGAACCAAGCAAACCGGCAGCCTTTAACCGACGCCTAAAACAAACCCAGTACAAAAGCAAAAATAAGATAACAAAAGCGAAAACCATAAAAAGGCTCTCTCCGCGGGCGCGACCATTGCCGCGGAAAGCGCGCGCACGCACAAACTCAATGACCTTCCAGTTTGTGGGTGCGCGCGCGCGGCTCCAGGACAACTTTTTCATAAAGTGCAGTAGCCACCACGGGGCTGCACTTTGTGGCCCCACAAAGGCACTCACAGTGACTCTCTAAAATGTCGCCTTTATCGAAGAGCGTCATTTTTACTGCGTAGCTACAATTCTTAAACGACGCCTGTATATTCGCTACTAGAGTGAAGCTCTTCGCCTCAAAAGAAAGGACGTATCCTACAAGGTATTTTCCTTCGCCTTTTTCGAAGGCCGCATTCTTGTCTGTGAAAAAGCGGTGAATCTCCGACAGACGCAGGAAAGATAAAACAGCCATTGCTTTGACTAACAGACGTAAAGCAGACGATGTAAACTGCGTCAACCGCGCCAACCCGCTGAAGCCGTTAAAGGGTGAGGAGTCTCGCCGTACACGAAAAGAGGGAACTTGCGGACGGTAACCTCCCTCGTTCTCGGTTCTTAGCAAACAATCCTTGGCGCGTCAGCCATCTCGGCCGCGAGTCCTTTGGCTTCACTCCTTGATGTGTGTCTGCTAGTTGTTAGACAAGAACACATCTTACCTCTCAAGTTATTTCGTCTGCCCTCTCTGAAAGGTGAAGTCGAGCTCGCTCGTAAAGGTAAGACAGCTGTTGATTAGCAGACGACGTTGCAAAGGAGCAGACGACGTTTAGATAGTGGGTCGTGGCGACCCACTATTTTTTCATTCGAGCCAATCAGAGCTCGGCGTTCTGACGTTACTGCAACCCCTGCACAAGAAGCAGACGAACTTGCTCTCCGCATACTTCAAAGAGCAGTCGACAGGAGGCCCTGATAGTACCACGGGCCACGCAGAGATATGTTCGCACTAATGTAGATAGTTATAGTACAAGCATGGCGTCTATGTAACGCAGCATCGTGTTGGTAGTACTCAAGTGGTCTGGGGAATGCGAGATGTCCCAGGGGGCTGGAAAACCAATTGCTACACGGCATCTCGTTGTCTTTCCCGTGTAGATTATCTGGGGAGGCAGAACGGCTCCTCCCAGTGCAATGGACTTCTTCCAAAACCGACGCACCCCATTGCGGCGAAATACCACGCAGTGCACTCTGGGAACTAGTTGGCCACTCAGTTTCGGTTTCGACTGAGCAGCTCCATCTCATGCTATCACGCCGCGACCGAACGCGCTGCTTGCGTTTTCGATTATCTGACTTGTCACGAACGTACAATACACTCATTCTGGAGCGATACAAAACAAAGACCGGGGCAATTTCCTTGGTTCCCGAAACACCGGATATTGTGCGTGCGTATGTGAACGTAGTAAGTCGTGGCTTAGTCACCTCACCCCACGAGTGCATCTTTGAGCTAAATGTCAGTAATCCCGTCTAGTACCAGTGAGCTACAACTGAAATTTGTTCGTCTGGAGCCTTACACGCATTTTGTTTGCCAAACGTCCGCTTCTTGTTACTTCATTGGGCGAAAAGCAAGCCGCATCCTCACAGGATATCAAAGTTGAGGCCAGCGTTTACGCATGAACTTTTAAGGAAACGCAATAAATTCGACCTCACTACTGCACAAAAGTTACTATGATGTCTTCCTCATGACATCATGTATCTCCCACTCAAATTTTATGCTGATAGAAGATTAACTTTTCGCAAACGCTGAGATCGGCTAGCTACGACGGAGGCCCTAACAAGCGTTTCCTACTCCTCGCTAAGCCTTTTTGGACAAGCTTTTACTGACGTCCGAGATCTGTGCCGGGAACGGTGTGTCTGAAATTATCTCGGCATAGTCAGGCAGGAAGAAAGCAAACACATAACAAATATTATGGCCATTAGCAACCGTCAAATGCGCTTTGAATTCGTTCGAGCACTTGTCTGAAGAATGTCGCACCGTGCGCCGGACGGGCATGAACTCCAATGCGGACCGCATAGGGGTTCATGCCCGTCTGACGCACTTCCGGCGAACGGTGCGACATTCGTCACAGAAGTGCTCGACTTTTGCATTCTTAAAACGGTCTGTATGCGCGAATGTGCTTATATGATTGCAGGATAACTTTATGCGCATACGCGATGTTGAATATTAGTGAAATGCAAGCGGGTGGGGACTTCACTTCGTGCAGTGCTGCGGGTCAGTACAGATAAGAGGTAAGTAGTGTGTTCAAATTGAGCTTTTCAATGGCACCTCCGAGTTTTACCTCGCATACTCAGGCACATTAAGAAAAACAGTAGTTGCAAAAAGAAATATTTCGTCTATGGACGCACGAAGCAAACAAACTTCCTGATCAACAACACTAATGTAAAGGCGCGAGCTCGATGTATGCATACTTATTGTTTGCTACAGCTTGTTGGTTCGTACACAAGCAAGATCCCCGAGCACCCGAGCTTCGCAGCGTCGAGACTCCCAGCACTGGCTCGTCCACATACCTCGATTGGAGCGCTAACAGGAAGGCTCAAGTACAAAAATAAAACAAGCATGTGTTAAGACAAGCTATACGTCTCGGGCTTGTGCTAAAGCTTCGAGGTCTGGCCATTTAGGTTAGTTTAGAGACCACAAATGACGCTCTCGGGACCAGAAAACAATCTCTTGTCGACGTGTCGATCGAAACCGAAACCATGCCACCCTCCTCCCTGGCCAACTAGTTCCCAGAGTGCAACGCGCGCCGTGTTGCATGCAGGGCTTTATGGAAGTAGTCTATTGCGATCAGGACAGTAATCACTCTCTTGTTGTCACGTCCAACCAAGGAGATTTGTGGAGATCCTGTGGAGATCCAGTGGCTTACCAGGCTTAGCTTCGAGCCAGTTTGGTCCCAGTTAAGTACCATGTCTTTCGGAATCTAATTTTCGCGCACCACGTCTTCAACTCTTGCTAGAAACTCGCTCTTGATGTCTTCGAAATCAGTTGGAACTTTCCTGGCTGTCCGCGTTACTTTCCTACGGACGAGGTTCACTCTTCTTATCATGGATTTTGCCCATTTTGCCGCAGCAGAATGCCTGGAGAGCGCAGCTGTGAAAGGAAAATTTCCATAAAGTAATTTACTTTATACTAACATTGCAGTGAAAAATCAAATAAATTTTTTTGCCTTTTATGTCATCCACAAAACCTTAACATCTTTTATAAAAGACATCCACAAAGTCAAAAAACAATTCCATAGTTGCACTGCCCATAAAATTCCACTTAGGTAAAACAATAAGCGAGTCTTTCCTCTTGTCCCATTAACAAACAATAGTTTTCCTAAAATGAAATTTATGCCAAAATGTGGAACGGAGAAAAATGTGTTCAAAGTAAAAAATTTCTCTCCAGATGGTGGTGGATGTAAATATGACATTTTTCAAAAATCAACTTTTTTTGCAGAAAAAAAATTTTTTTTTTTTTGAGTAGTGTCCCCTCTTAACAATTCCCCAACCAGTGACAATGGTGGTCGTCTGGTTAATGATGCCTCCCTTCTATCGGAGCTTTTGAATGTAATCTTGCACGTCCTGATCCAGATTCCCCAATTTCACATTTGTTTTCCCATGCTGCATGCAGTAGGACTTCAAGGGATGACTTGCTATACTTGTTTTTACGTGAATCTGCATGCAAAAATACTCTAGAAGCCGGGCGAAGACATGATAACCAGTAACAAAGTCGGCTTGACACAACGGAAATAATAATTTAGCTAAACGTTTCACCTCCCTTGTGGGAGGCATCTTCAGTAATGCAAAGAGCAAATGAGAGTTGCTTGGAAAGTTTGGCTATTTAGGCACGAGGTATTTAGATTAAAAAGTTAAAAGGCGCGAACGAACAGGACGAAAAAAGAGACACATACGACACGGACAGGCGCATTCCAGGTATTTAGGTTCTTGCATGGCTTGGGGTGTCTCGTGAGGTGGGCAGCACCCACTGGACCAAGAACCATGACACATACCTAGCTGGTGAGGCTGTCGCTGCATTGCAAGGCAGCTGAGAGTGACGAATGCCTCATGCATTAACTTAACAGAAGCAACAGAATATGAGTTATTGAATTTCGACTTACATTTCCATGAGGCGGGGCTTTGTGCTGCGTCAGGCTGCAACACTGACTGATGGTGTCTCATGCACCCTTGCACAAGGACCACTCCAAATTAAAAAAAGGTCTCTGGCATGGAACAGAGATGTCAACAGCACACCAAGTCCACAATATTATAGGTCACCTGTGCCTCTTTCAAATCATGTCAGTAAAAACATCTTAACACAAGATAAATTATTGCTTTTAATTTACTCTCATAATCTTGGTAATTACCAAAGGAACAAAAATCTCACTTATCCTCATTACACGCACTCACTTGACTTTCAGAATGTAGAAACAAGCTTGGAACTGCTGGTGGCTTTCTGTCTCCTCCAGTCGTCAGAGCACCTCGTCTGGAACTGGGAGGGTTGGAAGTGGTCCTGCAGCGAATAACGTTTTGGTAGACGTCAAAGCTGTGTATTCAGCGGCTCAAGTCATAGTACAGTTATTCCGCTGATGAGAGGCTCATGCTTTCAAAATATGCGGTCTTACAAATCCATCATCGCACGACGCCACAGGCCTGAACCACTCGTCTTTCTGCGGTGAAGCGAAAGTACACAGGACGCTTCCACGGCAGTAGAGAAAAGATCACAAAATACGCGGTTTGGTCGCAGTGCACTTGTGTCCACCGTGTTCGCGTCACAATATTAACAATGAACAATACCTCGCCTCGCAGAGGTACGTCCAGTTGGGAGGTTTCCCCCCCGTGCCACGCTTGATTCTCAAAAGCCACAGTTTCCGTCTCCTCTGGGATTCCGGCAGCTTCAACAAGCTAATTCCCCTGGAAGCTCTGTTCCGGCACTTCAACGCACAAGAACTACCCATTTTTCAGACAAGACCGCAACTCCCGCGGCTACACAAACTTTTTTTTACGTCATTTAAACGCACATGTCCGCGTGTTCGGTCCTCTTCGATTTGGTTGGCAGGGTTTCGAGTGCACATTCATTTATTCTACCATTAAAGAATGCTATGACGAAAAGCTCACATGCACCAAGTTTTCAGTCACCAGGCACTTAACTTTTCTAACTCTAGCGACGCTAAAATGAATTTACCGAACCCTGCTTTACCTGTAACGCTCACGACCACCGCTAGGGGAGGTTTTGCGGCTTCTGATTGGTGACGAGTGGCCTGCCAATCAACTTTCCGGCCAATAGCGCTCCCCGATTTTCACCCCATTGATACCAATGAATGGCCAAACTCCTAATATATGGCTCTGGTTTCACAGAGTGTACATGATTGTACACAGTGTGTCTTCAGGGGTACAAACCACATTTGAAGAGTAGATAAATTTGCTAAGTCCCGTACACAAATGTGTACACCATGTCTGGAGGGGATATTTTGGTTTTTGTTTCGTGGCTTAAAGAAGAAAAAAAATGTTTTTCTCTCTTCCATGTCTCCAGACCGCTAATGGCTGCCGCGAGCCACCGTGCATATTTTTTACGCAGCGAATCTACAATGGACCGGTTGAAATACATAGAGCGCCAGCAGCAGGGGATTGTGGGAACCCTTCGCACAGATCACACACTTTCTCGTTGCGTCTCTGTGACTGCGCGTGATTCATGGCAGTTTCACACACCCCAACCCCACAATTAGTGGTACCGTGAGACCACGTGAGCAAACGAAATGCTGACGACGTTTTTTCTCGTTAAACCCGATCTGTAACCTCACGGCATGACTCGTGAGCATTTCTGGTCCTGACGCCAGCTCTAGGCGCACGTTAGTCTTGTGCAGGTTAGCTTTCTGCTCTTTGCATCGTTCAATCAGGTAGGCCCCACTAAGCGACAGACTCGCACTGGTATCAATCAGTGCTGCCACAGCTATTCCGAGCACTGTAACTGCCATACGAGGCTCAATTAACTCAGGGTCAGGATGGATTAGACATACCAATTGAAGTTTTGCCAGGTTGTCCATGGTCTCTTTTTTTGTGATCACATCTCTTTTTGTGTCAACATCTCTCTTCTTGTGATCAGCATTATGTTTGCATCTTTCCAAGCTTGCGGTACCTTTGAGGTTCTTAGGCATCCCGAGATCTCTGCCAGCTTTTTTAGTACAATAGCAGTAATTAATTACCAACCACACTTGAAGCATACAGCTGATCAGCTAAAAAGTGGACCGGACAGTTGTACATTTGGTATAGCTTGCCAATGAGAAAAAATAAATAGCTTGAGCAACTATAAATAGCTGGTATTGCTGGACCAGTCCTTTTAGTGTTGAGTTTACCTCGCCTGTTTGTACCCACATTTCAGCATCAACTCACTTCCACCTTTAGGAAATACCAGGGGGTAGGACGTTCATCCCGAACAAGTTCCCACCTTGAACAGAACGTCTGTAATTGGGCTTCAAGGCGGGACAATGATCACTGAAAGCATTGCATGCCAACGCTTGCAATCCGAAGTCAAGTAAAAAGGAGGCTATTTCTTTGCATTTTTCATTTTTTTACTTTTGGGGTTTAGATTTTAGGAACTGCAGGAAATCCCACTGCAGATCATTGGACTCCTGCACAATTGCAAACTGACGCTGCCTTTCCCTGTGTGTCCTTCCTCTTGCTTCACGAAGCTCTTGCCTCTGTGCCCTTGTTCCTCAAGGACCAACATGAGAAGGTCCACCTGCTTGCAGGAGGACTTTTTTTTTTGGGTGGTTTCTCTTGCGGTTTTTCAGGAAGATCCACCGTCTCATTCACATCCTGTAATTCCTCAGGGGAGTTGTCTTCAAGTTCCAGATAATAGCCATGTGCTTATCAGAAGGGCCCATGATACATGCATAACTTAAAAGGGTCATGCAGCGGTATTGGGTTTGAATGTTTCTCACCTTGCACCTAAATATTGTACCTAGCACGACCCAAGCATACTCGAACGCGATGCCATGAATCCAGAACTTGTGTTGTCGCGTTTTAATTGTAATGTAAACAGCATACTACTGTTTTCAGTCTCCGGTTCGAAAAGCTTGATGATTCGGACGTACCCTTTGCTTGTGATGACAATTGGAGACGACTCAACTTCAGCTCGTGACAGTGAAAGCCTCGGCGAGCATTCGGGCAGTGACTCGTTTTTAATCAAAGAATGATGAAAATAGTCAAACTTTAACAATGTGTTGAGCTCAGCACATTGTTAAAACTAAAACAGGATAGAAGAAACAGAACGTGCATGAATGGCGCAGACTAACGAGTCTAATTTCTTTCTCCTCTTTCTCCCCCACACCATATTTTGAAAAATTATTGTGGCTAGAAAACCCCATTATTTGGTGCCTTGCTTTTTTCTGCTTCCGATCTCAGTGGTGTTCGCAATAGCCGCCATAGACATATGAACCTGATGGTGAGCCAGTCTCCGCTGCATTTACCTAGGAGCTGTGTTTTGTTCCAACATGCTGTGGTACCTTCTTTAGTAGCTCTACTTTTTGTTTCAAAGCTGTTGATGGCACGCTGACGCACGTTTTGTGTTGTTCTGAAACCATATGTAAAGCCTCGATGGTTTTGCGTGTCGTCCTATCTTAAGATCTGGCCAAAATAAAGTGGCTTTAGCGGAGCTTCGCAGCTGCATTTTGTAGAATGCCCGGCTAGGTTGCCTGGTGCTTGCAGTTGACCGCATGCCTGTTTGTGTTCTCCGAGTCGTTCGTTTACACATCTTCCGGTCTGCCCGATGTAGGATTTGCCGCACGTCAGTGCTATCTTGTGTATCACCCCTTCAGCACATTCAACAAATTTGCGTTTGTGTTTCACTTGACACAATGTCTTGCCCTTCGTTTCGTCCTCCAGTTTATTTGCTTCTTTGCATAATCCTTTGAGCTTGAAAGGGGCAGATAATGCCACCCTAACTTCAAAATTTTCGGCGATCTTTATTTAATGTCAGAAATTGTGTATGTACGGCAGTACCACCAGTGGCCTTTTGTCCACAATCTGCTCCATGGTTTTGCTTTTTCTGTGAGATTGGAAATGTATTTTTCTGCGTCGGCGACCAGTGAGGGTTCTGGGTAACCGCTTGCACTTAGTCTGCGTGTCTGGCTCCCGAGGTTTTTTAAGACTCCGTGGTGACATGATATTTTTTGTATAGCTTGCCAGATGCGTCCTGATCCAACACTTTTCTTGACTAACTTGGTGTGTCCGGAGTCATACAGCAGTACTCCTTTCTCACCTCTTGTTTTTGTACACCCAGCACATCTGTGTGTTCTCGAAAGTCGTGTTCATGTCCAAGCATTGTTGGCTACCTCCCTCAAGTAATTCAGAGGTGAATTCAAGTCCTTTGTGCGCCTCTCGGAACTTCTTTATGATCGTAAATATATAATTATGACAGTGCGAACTCTGTTTTAACTATATGTTAACTATGCACCGCCGACTAGCCCACGTCCAAATATTACTTCTCCATGATCTTTGAGCATGATGTGTCTGTCATTTGGTGTATTGGGAAACAAACCAAAAAATAGACAACATATCGGAAGCACCTGCTGACTCCATTCTCCTGGAAAAACTGCTGTAACTCCGTTTCCTTTTACTATAAACAGGTCACATAAAGCTGGTGCTATGCAGGACCCTATGCAGATCCCTTCTTTTTGAGTGTATACATTATCTTTCAACGTGACATTTAGAGAACTTAAATAGGTCTGTAAGAGACTTAGCAAATCCCTAATGCTGATTCCGCACTCGTTTTGAAAACTTGAAGCCGAAAGCGTCGAAGCTCTTTTCCACTGCCTGTGTTGCTTTTTCCTGTGGAATGTTGTAAAACATGTCTTTCGTTTCTACCGAAAAAGCTGTGATGGGCTGGTGTTTTTTCCAAAATTCAATTACTTCATCGGAATTATGGACCTAGATTGGATCTTCAACTTGAAGTGGTACATGTTCCTGTATTTCCCTTGCTGTTACATGTGGCCAGGTTCCTTTGTCTTCCACTTTGACTTGTAATGGTCTGCCTTCCTTATGGGTTTTTACCACAATGAAAGGTGTCAGAAAAGGATTCTAGCTGCCTTTAACTTTAGCAATCTTAGTGAGGCCGATTGTTTCACAGTGTCGTGCCACTTGTTCTCTTGCGTTTTGCGATTTATTTTGCGATGGTATGTAAAGTCTTTACTACATCTAACTTGCAGAGTGCCCTTCTCATCGAGCCTACAAGGAGCTGACCGCTGGGATTTGTAAACGAATCTTAGCAAATGCTAAATTTCAGACAGCCTTTTTGACTAAATTATGTTATCTGCATAGCCACTTGTAATGTTATGCTTCGCCTGCTTGTGATCATTTCCCAGTTTGTATCCCACTTTATGAAGTGGGATGAAGATTAAGGAAAACAATAGATTATATTTTCTATTGGCAAGAGCTCACTTCGATAATTAAAAATATAAAGATTCACACAGATGTGCAAGGTACAGTTTGGTGACCATTTGTCTACATACCTCCTTGTTAGTTTTGTTTTGGTAATTATTACCGAAGATAGAAGACCCCTGTATTACACACAGTGTGGCGGCCTCACCATTGACCCCACCGTCAAATACAGTTGTGAAATGTTTAATTTCCTACTTAGCAGAATTCACCAGGCTGAAGGATGCCGCTTTCCATTGCCCTTCGAAGGGATGATAATGATAATGATAATATTTATTTGCACTCAGAAAGAGATGCCGGTGAGAGCAGAAAGACCGAGGTTCCATGCCAGAAGCCTGCAGCACCAAAAGGAGAAAAAAAAAAATAAAGGAAAAGAAGGACGACTGGGAAATCCCTATTGTGAGTCGTGGCCGACACCGCGGAAGCCCCAAAACTAGTCAGCGGCGCAGGCGCCCCACTGCACCCTACAGTCAGTGGTCACGTAGGGCGCTCTGCAACACCAACCTGCTCGATGGTCCGCAGCCTCCGCCACAACCCACCCCAGGGCAAACCGGGATGCTACATTACACTTTCGGTTCATTCAGCACGCAGGTGTCTGGCGATGGCACTGCAGAACGTCCTACATTCATCCTTATTGTGGGGATGACCGCTTCCAGACATAGCTGTCATGGGCCCCACCAGTCATGCTGGAGTCAATGTAGCTTATGCGTGACTTTGGATCACACACCTGCAGAAGGCAGCACCGCAAGTTTTCTATATCATTCACATAGAATTCTAACACACTGATGTAATTATTATAGATTCAGCAATCCAAGGCAAAGCCTTTTCCATATTGCACATGCAGAAGGGAGGAATACCTTTTTCTATCAGTGCAAGCATTGTTGGTCCAAGTTAATATTGTGCTTTTCGTTCTAAATGACCTGTGTCTTCACCTGCGTATTTCTGTCTCGCATTTCATTTGCTCTACTGTAAATGACTATTTTTGTGGGCTCGATATTGAACATTGAGCATTGATTTTATTCCCGCCTTGAACGATGGGGGGATGCCAAGGAAAAAAGCTGTTTGCACAGCTTGAGGGCTGCAAAGTCAAGAAATTAAATAACAAATAATAAGATGTACACTATGAAAACTTTTATATAATGTTAGATGTACTAGAATTTTGTACACACAAGACAAAAATAATTAGGCGCAGATTTTTACAATGTTGGGTATGTCGCTTTTATTTAGTGAAGTGATGTGGAATCTCATTGATGCGATATGATTCAACAATTCAGGAAGTATTTGCTTGATTCTCTGATGTCCAAAATTAGTTCTTGATTGAGGAATTCGCCAAGGATGAATGAGACGGGTATGGTACAATGAGATGTATGGACGAAAGTCAGACAGTGTGAAGAATGTTAATGCTTACCACAAGTTGCAGCTTGGTATGTGAATATTAAATGCTGAAAGTAGATATCCGATACATCAGTTATAGAATATTTTTCAAAAAGAGGTAGCGATGGAGACATCCCAGAGACATTCGCAACAGCTCGAATAGCTTTCTTTCGTAAAACACTAAGTGTGTTTAAATTCGTCAAACCAGTAGATCTCCAGACAAGATGGTGGTTGTACAATAAATGTGCGTACAAAAGGGACCTTTAAAGTTGAAGTTTAACACTGGTGGGTAAAATATTCCCATATTTAGTTAGCACACTTGCTCTCTTGAAACTTTATTACGAATGTGTTGCACATGATCATTCCAGGACATATAAGAAAGAAACACTCCCAAAGTTTTAACATTATCTGTGTAAGGATTAACACCAGGGCCATAATTCAAAGCAAGGTGTAAGTCAAGCCGACTACCTCAATAAAGTTGAAATATTACGGCCTTACTTTTGTCTGTATTTAGGCAAGAGACTTATTTTCGCATCACAACTTAAACTTGCACAGAACATTGTTTGTCTTAGAAATAACAGTTTCAGAATTTGTGCCGGAAATTATCATAGCCGTATCATCTATATAAATAATGAATTTGACTTCGGTGCCAATAGTAACTATGTCATTAATATAAAAAGAAATAAAAGAGGTCCTAGAATGCTGCCTTGTGGCACTTCACAAGAAATTTCAACTAAAGATGACTTATGACTAGGGTTTCATGTTTTCGGAGTTTATTTTTTGTCAAATTTGGAGGGTGTTTTTCAAAGTTAATTTTTTGCCGAAAATTAAGAGTTTATCGGAGTTTATTTTTGTTTGATTCCCAATTCTCCGAAATTCGGAATTTGATTTCGCTGTGTTTCTTATTGAAAATAAATAAATAATATGTGGGTGTAAACGTCTCGTCCCGGCTCAGCTTGGCTACCGAGAGCTGGGACCGCATTGAACCCATATCGCGTCTTGCTCACGCCATGAGGTCCCCCTCGAGGGGCGAGACCAGAATCCAGGGCGGACTGCACCGGCCGTCCCGGGCCCAGCATTGGGCAACGCTGC